AGAAAATCGTAATATATCACAGAAAAATAGAAATCTGAGAACTCAGAAGTTATAAAGCGTTTAAGAACTCAGAATGCACCGAATTTTTTCTCTAGAATAAGCCTATTAGCACCTACACCTTAAAGAAGATTTTTTTACAACAACTGCAGGAGTTATTTTTTCAGGAGTATGAAGTAAAGTTACAAAAAATATTAAAAACAACTGTAAGATGACAAAAAATATTCACAGATTAGATTCAGTAATTTTATTGAAGCATACTAAGCAGAATCCTGTTAATTACTTACTTGCTATTAGACACCTATTTCGGCTTTGACACCGGTAGAGGAAAATACGAGCCAACCAGACATGATCAAGGACAATGACAATGTAATCAGATACCCAGCTTTGAACACGGGGTATCGAACCCTGGTTCAAGCCGTGGCCGGCAAAGATTACCCACTCACCGAATAGATGAGTACTTACCTATGAAATAAATAAAAATACGTTTAAATTTTTGAAAATCCCTAGAGAAATGCACAGTATAAAACAGGTATTTTCTGTTCCAAAGTATACGATTTTATAGAGTTAAATCACATGATCTAGGACAGTGGCTCTCAAATGGCGTTCCATGGAACCCTAGGGTTCAGTTGAAGAATTAAATGGGTTCCGTGAGTTAGCTCTTTTTATAACCAGTGATGAGTTTTGAAACCTCTGATTATATTTATATCAAAATTATAATTAATAATTTATTTATTTTTGCGGTAGCTTTTATGAAATTAATTCAAGTAAAATGCCAATGAAATATATATAGTATTTTTCAAAGGACAATATAAAATTTTTAATAACAATATATAATAAATTATGAAAAGAATAAGCATTTAAATAATATTCCATTAGTATTTCTATCGTCTTTTTGGAATCGAACTGATTAAATTCTTGAATAAAGAAATATGTTTCCATATTAGCCATTTTCAACCTTTATCGCAGCTCTTTTAAGTTTCCATTTCGAAATAAAACATAATTCGGCGTATCCTTTTCAGCTTATGTATGTACAAAACAAACAAATTTGTGACTAAACTGGATGTATCACTAGGACAACAAATTTAACAGTCGAAAATAAATCCTAATTAAAGATTATTAATAATCAGGGATGAGATTAGCCAAAATGCAAAAAAGCTGAATTTCCACAATAGTAAATTTTACGCAAGCGGAACCCTTTAATAATAAATTCCAGACAGTTTAAGGTAATAAATAATGTGTTGACATACAATTGTGTACTAATCTATTATTATATAAATGATTACATTGATACTTAACATTTAGTGAAAATAAAAATTACCAATTGAAAAAATAAAGCTGGAAATTATATTTTTCCTCAGTTCACATAAGAGACAATTATTACTTGAAAAACTACCTGGTTTAGCAAATTAAAACTACTGAGAATATACATTAATATTTCATTTCTTTTAATAAATACTGTTATGTGATTTATAGCAAATATATCAGTAATATTACTTTTTAAATTATATTGGAAAAAAAAACTTTAACAATGGACCGAATCATTATGTTCATATTATAGTCTAATCTAACTACAGCCCTCTGAAACATATCAATAACAGTGAAGTAGAAATATATAGTAACTCCTTAACATACAAAAATTGCTATTTTAGTTTGAAAAATTACATGACAATCAGCAACTGTTTAGATAATTGTTTTTTATTTGATAAGAATTTTGCATTTTATAGCATAAATAACAGCAATTATAAATAAAATTTTGATGATGAGTTAATTAACTCTTTTTCCCCCCAAATTTTTTTTTAATTAAATCCCTTTTTAAGTGATTGCTTTTGTTTGCTATATCTTTTATGTTTGCTATATTTAGTCGTTAGTCCATCTTCAAACATCTTGTGACAAATCCTATTTTTTCTTCTTTGCAAGCACAGAATGTAAGTTTTGAATATATTCCCTTCCAGTTTCTCTGATGTTGTAACACTTACATATACTAATAATCGTCGTTAGAAAAACAGTCACCTTTATAGTAACTAATTTAAAAAAAATTTACTTCTTACAAGAATCGCGATAGTTGATCTTAAAATTGCGTGAATATGAATAACAATTATGGATTTTGAAATCACATGAATATGAAACTAGATATACGATTTTGAAAATGAGAAAATACAAACTGGGATATAGAATTTTTAAAATGCGTAAATACAAATCACGATTCATAATTTTTAGATAGCGTAAATACGAATCATGATGCGTAATTTTTAGATTGCATAAATAAGAATTATGATGCATAACTTTTAGAATGCGTGAATGCGAATCCCAATGCCTTATTTTAAAATCACGTATAAATACGAAAATCAATGTTTGATATTATAAACCGCATGAGCAAATCAACACATTGAATTTTAAACTTGCGTGAATACGAATCGCTACATAGGTTTTTAAAAAGACGTAAATACGAATAACAATATTGGATTTTTAAATCTCGTAAATAAGAATCGCAACGTACAATATTCAAATCACGTGAATAAGAATTGCAACACGCAAATATGAAAAGCTATGTTTGATATTAAAATCGTGTGAATAAGAATCGAGATAATAGCGGATTCCAGGCTTGGGACCTCTAAAGGGCTTGTCAGATGCAGCGAACTACGAAAATCGGATCTATTTGGAGGGTGGGTAAAAAATTCGGAAAATCTTATCTGCTGCGTGTAAAAGGGAAGAAAATAGATAAAATAAGTAAAAATGAGAAAGGATTGGTAGCTATGTAGTTTGAATTTTCTGTTTCTCTTTGAAAATCGGTGAATTTTCTGAAAAGCGGAATACTTATAAAAACAAATGAAATTTTTAGAAAATCTGAATTTTTTATAAAAAAGCTGAAATTTGAGAGATATAAGTTAAAAAAGCGGAAATCCGCTAAAAAGCGGAAAAATCTCATCCCTGAATAATGAGGCGATGATAAATCTTCATTCCTCTAACTAAATATTTTTAGTATAAGCTTTTATAGCTTATGATGTGTACATGCAATTAACTTAAAATTTATTGGTTGGGGTTCCGCCAAAAGAAGGTTGATTATTAAGGGTTCCGTAGTCGAAAAAAATTAGGAACCACTGATTTGAGACAGTGGTCGGCAAATTGTGCTTTGTAAGCTAATGTTGTATTTTTGTAATTCATCAGCTGTTTGTAGACTGATTAAATAATGCCCAGCGAAGATTTAGAGCAGAGTCAGAAGAACACAGACATAGGCAAAAGTAATTCTATTTCGTTTTATTTTAAAACCGTCGTTAAACAGGTCAACTCGATTTTTCGACAGGATTTTTCGGGTTTACGACTATTAATGTTCAACTCCGTAATTTTGAACCTTACCCGGAAGGCATAGGAACTCCTTGATAATTTCTTGGGAGAAATTTGATTTCGTGGAGGACTTTTTGATGGAACTAACCCGCATTTGCGCTACACGGCGAAAAAACCACGAAAACCTCCCATGGTTAGCCTAACGGCAAGGGGATCTAACCCATGATCCACGATGTAAAATATCGTCAGCTGTAGAGCTGACGATATTTTACATCGGCACTGTGTGAAGTGCGATCCAGATGCGCAATTTGTATCAAACAGTCATCGCTGGGATTCGAACATGGTTCACCTCATTGGAAGTTGAACCCTGAGCCCTAACGACTCAAGTAATTTTATTAATCGAAACTGGAAGTTAATGAGCAAAGATATGACTTAAAAATGGTCGCAATATTTCTCTATCTATGAAATATGCTGCACTTTTTTCCAGAGCTCAGTTTTTATTATTGAGTTATTAGCCGGCTCATTGGCCTATTTTCTCAATATTTTACTGTACAAATAAATGTCAGATAATTAAAATCATGTGATAATTTTCCGACACCCTTTAGTACCAAAAGCACTCTGTAATAATTTATACCGCTTAAGTATTACGTTTCAAGGATTAATGCACAACGTTTATTGTAAAAAGTTTTATTTTACATAATATGTTCATAACTAACAAAAATTTTGCTCTTTGGCTTTTTTATAATAAAGTTAATTTTATACAATAAGTACAAAATGACTCATTTTCTCAATATACATTCTCATATATATATCTATCTTTTCCTGCAAATAACTATATAGTCTTACAAAACTTTTGATGTACCTGACATCATAATAAAATAATAATAAAAAAATTAAGTCTAAAACAAGAACATAAGTAAAATGTAATATTTTAAACTATTCTAAGTATAAAACATGATGATAAAAAATTACAACACATGAATTTTTTTTTCAGTAAATTACAAAATGTTGGTTTGATTTTTAAGCTGAAATAAATACCTGAATTATTCTTTCATGGAAAATTCTTAGATAAATTCGTTTCTAAATTCACTCGAAATCTGTTTTTTTTTCTATTTCCTTAAAACCTCTTCATAGTTTAACTTTTAAAACACATTAAAATTGCACCTTTACATGTTTTCGTCTTATGGGATGTTAAAACTGCACTCAAACTTAAATTCTATGAGCTACTTAATGATTAAGCTCATTAATTACTTTATGAAATGTTGTCCCTTATTATTATGGATAAATTACTCAAATTCACATTTCACATCGGAAATATGTTAAAATTAACTTTCTAATTACTCACAATCTACAAAATATTTGTTTAAAATAGATTATTTTATTCTAATTCAATATTTTATAACGAGATATTATAATTTTAATTTTAAACATTTTGTTTCGTTCCTTTCGTAAAAAGAAAATAAGAAATGAAGGGATTGTTTAATTTTTTTTTCTGATACAATCGTTCCATTTTTTTACCCACTGATATAATCGTTTAATATTTTACTCATTTTATATAATCGTTTTGTTTTCACCCTTCTAATGGGGTCATTTCTTACCCATTTGATAAAATCGTTTTATTTTTATTTTTCTGAGAGAATCGCTTTTATTAACTTATTTGGTATAATCGCTGGTATAATCGCTACATTTTTACTTTTCTGATACAATCGTTTTTTTTAATCCAATGAAGTAATCGTTTTAGTTTTTTCATTTGAAATACTTGTTTTGTTTTTACTTCCTGGTGGAATCGTTTCTTACCCATTTGAAATTATCGTTTTATTTTTACGTTTCTTCTAAATTATTTAATTTAACTCATTTGATAAAATCGTTACTATCTTGCTTCTCTGAAAGAATCGTTTTTTTTTTCATTCCAATGACCAAATCATTTCATTTTTTACCAATTTGATATAATCGTGTTGAGTTTACCTTTTTGATGGAATCCTTTTTATTCCCATTTGATGTAAGCTAATCTGATTTAAAGTTTATGATATAATCATTTAACTGTTTTTCTTCACCGTTTTTGTTATATTAATTTATTTCTCATTTATTTTAATAACATGATTTAACTAAAATCATTTACTAAAAATACATATTTTTTAGAAAAATAAAACAAAAATTCTAACGAAATAAACCTATTAAAAACTATTGTGCAACTATGCAATCCCGTATATTTCGCATTCAAATTAAAATATATTTTTACGCTACAATGCTACAATTTTTTTATTTAGCAATATAAAATTTTAAAGATATATTTAAGTGTTTTAATCGAAGTATTTAAATATCATGATTCTTAACTCCGGCAAGGTATTTCTTATGCAATATGTCTTATAGTCAACAATTTAACTTCTAAATTATCCAAACCATATGTACTAAAATCATTTAATACTTTCACAGATAATTCAAAATTAGTTAAATACTTTGACCTTTGCGTATCGTAACATTTACATATAATTAAAAAAAATTATAATTTTTAAATAATAGTTGGTAATATCGTATTTGATAGATCAACATGGCAAACGTAAATAAAAATCTGTAAATCAACGTAAGCTCACAGAACCACTCTCTTTACTCTAGATGAAGAAACTTAATTTTAAATGTACTCGTTATGAATGTAATGATTTAATATTTCAGCTAAAATCGTTGGGCTTAAATCTTCCCATCGTTCTACGTCATCTTCGCAAGTGGTACTTAAGTTTGAAACACAGACAAAAGTTTAGATTACAGTCACAGTTATCACACAAGGTGGCTCCCCACCGTTCCTAGTATGCAGCTACCAGGCGGACTGTCCGTTTGCCTTGTACTGCATACTGAAGGCTCGTCTGGTAGTAGTACTCTTCGAGAGTATCTTGAATCGTCTGAAAGAGTGGTAATGACGTCACTTGATGAAAGTGTAGTACTTAGAGGAACTGATTGTAAGCTCACGTGATCCTATTGATAAAAGAACAAAGATCAGTATATCAGTATACAGTATTTGAAAAATAAATTAAAAAACACGGAAAGGTATAAAAAGGCACATTTTGCTGCATTTTCATAAAAAAAATTAATAAAAGAAACAACATGTGCTTTTAATGTAAGTTTCGAATACAGTTAAAGCTTATCAACAGATGGCGCTGTGAAATTTCTAGCAACAACGTTTTCAATCTGAAGACCCAATGAACAGTCACACTTATGAAATATTTTTGTTCCAACTGACTAACATTGTTATTGTTTCCTACTACAATTTGCATTTTTATTTAAAAAATTTTATAAGATTCTTGTCAAATCGAAAAGAAGAGTTAAAAAACGATTTTCTTTGTTTTTTTTCTCAGCGTTTACGCTTTATATAGCTGTATGTCGGAGGGAAAGGACACCATGTCCATTTGTTTCTAAAATTGATTTGATACCACATGTCCGTATTGCAGATTTTTCCCTTTATCTTGTGCTATAGGGCAACTGTGCTGTCATAATAAACGGCAAAGTTAGTCATAGAACAGTTTCCAAGATTAGTTCGCAAAGCAAAATTGTGAAAAAAATCTAAAATCTTCTCACCTCAAAAATTACATTTTAGTGACATGTTGTCCTTTACTTCAGACGTTAAGGCACTCTTTTTTATTTATTTTTAAAAGATTTGAAATATTAATCCGATTCTTCAGAGTCCTTCGATTTAACCAATCAAATTCTTCTTATTAAAAATTCATTGGCGACTATAATCTACCGGGTGTTTATTTTTGTATAATAGCGTATTGATATTGCACTCTCTTCTCGTTTAGCGTACAAGATAGACCGAAGTATTTTTCACACGTAACAATGATTTGATTCCGTTGCTAACATTCACCTCGCAAACGTTATTAAATGAAAATTAATTTTTTTAAATCTAAGTAAAATTTATTATTGTTTTTTTTTTTAGATTTTCATAAAAATTACTTAATAATTTCCATTGCGATATTTAAATTATGATGTGTTTTATTACGATTTCCGTTAGGTTCTAGATTAGGAACTGGATTAGGATTAATTTCCAAAGTTTTTGGGTTAGCTATTATGAAGTACAATAAATTTTTTTTATTTAGTCTCTTGTGTAACACAATTTTGTGTCTTTCATTTGCTTGCATTCGAGAGTACATTCCTGGAGGGATGGAATGTAACCAGACAGAATATATTTTCAGTGAAAATAAAATTTGTCCCATTAAGTATGATTAAATGTTTTTGTCAGGAGATTAAGTGCTTCATGGTTTGGATAATACTCATTCTTCATACATTCATATCTTTTTCATGGACATTCCATGCCCGGCAGAAATGTAAATATTTGTGATGTTTTATAAACATAAACAGAAGATTTGAACAATGGTGTAATTAATTAAAACAATTTCTGGTAGCGAAACCATAAAATTAAGTTGCTTTGATTTAAATGAATAACACGGGAAACACACGTTATTCCTGAAATAAGTAGGGGGAAAATAATAAAGGAATTATAAATCTAACTAAAAAATAGGGCTGAATATAAATGTCATAAAATATTTATTGAGAACTGTATTATGATCATAAATAATTCTTGAATATTTAATTTACTTTCCAAATAGCGGAAACTGTAAGATTTGTTTGTGAACTTACGTAAACAAATTAATATATTCTGTTAGATGATTGTTATAAATCGATTTGTTTAATTAAATATTTGTTACCTTAGACTGAAAATTATATATCTATTTTTTCTTAAAGATTAATCTATTTTATTTAGGGATTGCATTTAAAAATAAAACAGTAAAATTTATTATTTTATTAAAATTGAAAATAACTCCTTGATTATTTGTTCTTTTTTAAGATGAAATATATTTTACTAGATACGAAATAGTAATTTATGTTAATTCAGATTTTGCTCAAATTTGTGCCTCATTGTTTTTTTTAATATAAATTTAAATGACTAAGCAGTTAAGTTAATAGAATTTATCTTATTTTATCATCATCAATATTTTTTTAAAAGATAATAAATAAGCTAATATAAAACTAATATAAACCTACTTAATATTAGTACATAATTATACATAATTAGTAATACGTTAAGTATTAATTTAGATTTATTTTGTTTGTTAGAGAATTAGTTTAAACAATGTTAAATAGTGAGTTATGCACTAGTTACTTATTTAGGAAACTTTTGTATTTTTATAGATATAAATTCTTAGTTGAAAAGTAATTATTCATATTTATTTTTGATTCTCTTAAAAAGAGCTGAAAAACTTTTTATCATAATTGGTGCTATGTTATCACATTCATACAAATTATTGGTGACTTTTTTGAGCAATAGCATATATATTGACATCGATTTTAAACTTCTATTTATAAGTGTTTTTGCAAGTTCTGTCTTTAAAACTTTAAAAGATGAACGTTTTATACGTTCATATTTTTTTCTAGTTTAATATTCAAATAAAAAAAATTTAAAGACTAAATCTTAATTTTTTTTAAATATCCACAAAAAGTTTTGATTTAAATTAGTAGAAGTTATAAAATTACTTTTAAGCATAAAAAACATTTATTATAATATTATTAACCTCATTTTACTTCGAAATGCTTTGTTTTTAAATAAGGGAAAAACATTCAATTTTAACTAATTGATATACACCGAAGAGCCATTACATTATAACCACCCTGCTAAAAACATGTAGGACCACCTTTAGCCCTCAAAACCGCTAGCACTCGCCGTGGCATTGATTCCACTAGGTGCTGATAGGTAGTCTGAGGTATCTGGTAATAAGCGCTCACCAACTGATCCTGCAATTTCCTCACATTGCGAGGGGGTAGCGTAGCAGCACGAGTTTGGTTTTCAAAGTAGAACCACAAATGTTCTATTGGATTAAGGCCAGGTGAATTTGGGGGCCAAGACATGACTTGAAAGTCACTGGAATGTTCCTCGACGATTCGACCCTTATGACATGGTGCGTCATCCAGTTGGTAAACACCATCCACCGCAGGAAAAACTGTTGCCATGAATGGGTGAACTATGTTCAAGTACAGACGTCAGGGATTGTCTATGAGGATTATGGGTCATAATGTGCAACATGAAAACATTGTTCCTGGCCGAGAAACCATGAAAAACAGGGCGAGCCCATTGTTATAGATGGAGGGGAGGGGGTTATAATGTAATGGCTCTTCGGTGTATAATGTAATACGATTTTCACAAAAAAAGAATGAAAAATACGTACCATTCCTCTATTTTTAAGGATATCTGGACAGTTATCTTTTTTTCTTGATTGTGTTAAGTCTAGAAAATAAAACCATGAGACAATCTTGTAAGACATTTAAAACAAAATAGAACACTATCTAAACAAGCAATACGGGTTTTATATTTGCATCGTCTGCATTAAACTGTTGATCAACAAACTGAATTCATAACTTTGTATTTGAAAATCAAAGTATTAATTATATTAAAATTTATTACGAAAAATTAGTTGAAGTTAGTCTGTTTTATTTCTTATCGTCTACGCAGCTTGACTTTAAACAATATAATAGAGTTTAGAATTATATTCTTTAAAGTAAGGATGTTCCTTGCAACTTCAAACAATATAATTTTGTTACAAGTTTGAAAATATTTTTATAGTTTTGTAAATATGTGTTATATATGATGTAAAGTTTGTCATGCAGACCGGCCTGTTTAGTGGGCAGGGAAATGTCTTTGCATCAGAAAGATCCTGGGTTCAAATCCCGGGAAAGGCATGGATGTTTCTTTCTCTCTGTGTGTGTTCTATGTCCTTTCTCCTTTGTGTGTGAATGTGACGGGCTGTGGTTGTTGTGCATGGCGAGGCAGAAAGTCGAATTCCTGGCCATAGATGGCGCCACTGAAAAACAGGAACAATCGCATCCCCCCTGCCTGAACAGGCATACGACAAAAAAAAAGTTTGTTATGAGGCTAAATGTCTCATACGAATCCTAAATAAACTGTTCAATAAAAAAATGTGCAAGCAATTCGGGGAATATATTTTAGGGGGTAACAAATCCGAATCCCTCAATAAAAATGCATGTTTATTCGGGGAAAGAACGTTTTTGTGTCTGATTTCGTATTTTAAAATATCGTCTGAACTTGTTAATTAGCATATTTGAGGTCAACTCCTTTAGCCATTAAGAGAGTCATAGAACGTGAAGATCCGTTTTTAAAATCACAAGTTATTCATGGTTTTCCGTTTTTTTTTCGCACTGTGCACAAAAAATGAACTTTCTAAAACAATCTCTTCGGTGGGAATAGAATAGATTTATAGTATTTGTATTTATAGTATTTATATATAGTATTAGATAGTTTTTTGCAGCCCATTGCTGACAATTTCGATAATCATTCGCCCCTCTGTATCACTTCAAAACGCTGACTTTAAAACCAATTAAATTTATTTATCAGTAAAAGTCTATTCTTCTCATTATTTCTTTAATACTTTGTTCTTTTATTTATTTTTAATAAAGTTATATTAAAATTTGTTCGATCAAGTTTTTGCCACAGCATCTATTTCAATTTAAAATAAAAATATATTATTCAATTTAACAATTTAAATTTGCATACTCACCAAATGGACTTGGAGACTGATAACCTGGAATGCATTTATCACTAACTTGTCTTTTAGCTTCCTGGAAATAAAACTATATTTTCACGAAAGTGAACTTAATATTTAAGGATCTATTCACATGAACGAAAATGTGACATCAAAAAATATATAGATTTGCTTGACGAATGTTATCGACGACGTCAATCTTCAAACAAGGTGATACAGCTCTCACCACCAGGGCTCAAAACCTGGTGAACTTAACACAGCTCTCCCGGTTTTTCGCAAAAACGGCGGTAAACAATAAAATGGTATCAGTTCATAGAATTATGTCGCAGATAAAATTCTGGCGGGAGAGTACTGTAGCGTAACTACCAATACAATTATTAAACACCAATTCATTAGTATATACGACAAGTTAACTCGATCCTAACTTGGGGTACTTTTAGATAGATGAAGGTTGACCTCGTCGATAACATTCGCCTCACAGATTCTCGTGTTTTTTTTTTAATATGTTAAATCGTATGGCACATAAGAGTATTTGCATAAAGAGAACAATTTTAAAACAGGAGAACATTTTTATGGAACTATTCTATTTCAAAACAACTGTAATTTACAAATTTAACCCAGAGCTAGCTTTTTTATGAAGTTATCAAAGCTTAACATACTGTAATCTAGATACTAAAAAAACTAGACACTAAACTTAATACTGCTAAAAAACCTATTTGAATGCATTTAACAATTTATTCCGAGTCTACAATAAAGTTGAGAGTAACTTATTTCGACTTACATTAATTGTAATGATAACGATTTGATTAAGGTTTAAAACCAGCAATTTCGACAAAATTTTGATTCTGTTTTTATAAGTATCTATACCTATACTTCAGTTCATTAGCTCACCTAAACTCTTAAACTCCTTATTTTAATCTCCGACGCATAAAAATAAAGTTACAGTTGCTTTTTTTGTATGCTGAAGGGCAAAATCACATAAAATACTTTTTTTAGCTTTGAATATTTTAACCCTTATTTATTTGAATAACTTATATTTTTAAGACAAATAAAATTCCTTTTTTGAAACCAATTTTCAAGTTATTAATTTTTTTCTTGTCAGAAATTATTTGCAATTTAACTGAATTTTCTAAAGAACTTTAATTTTGAGGATATTTTTTTATGCTTATACACATTACAAAAAAAGTTTATTACAGAATTGTTAAAAATTTTGTAGGAAGATGTTCTATAATGTTAGCAGCGATGTTTTGTACTAAAGACTAAGGTCGAAATTTAAATTTATTATTTTTATCAAGCTTTAAGTAAGAATATTTAAAAAATTTCTTCAAAAATTTAGCAATGTATACAATTAGATTTTATTTTTTTAAATGTTTTAAAGTTTTTAAGCACAGATAAACACATTATTAATCTAGAAAAAATTTATTTAGAAACTTATACGTTAGATGTAGTTTTTAATCTCAAATTCACGCTTATTTTTAAAAATATTTTCTAAATATTTAAACTTTACTTTATAACTTATAAATTTAGAACCCCCTGCTTACCAAATAATGAATTTAAGTTTGAAATTAGTTTTTTTAGATAAAGTGCCGAAACCATTCCGATATATTATACATTTGTAAATAAAATACTGTTAATAAATTTTATTTTTAAATTTGAATAAATCAAAAAACTGCACTTACATAAAGCTCTTTCATAAGTATCTCTTCTTGATAGCTGTCTTTGTCTTCGACTTGACAAATAGCTTCCCCATTTATTGTTTGTTGGTATTTACTTGGAGTATACATCACAGAATCTGGTGTTGTAGCTTGCGTGAGAGCTTTCGGACTTCCTATTCAGAATATCAGTATGAAATTAATAAAATGAGGTATGGGCATGTATATCATTCATAATGTTTAAATTAAGAGTCTTCAGAAAAAAAAAATGATTGACATGACGTATTTAGTATCTCGTACTGCTAATTTGATTATAACCAATCGTAAATATTAATGCAAATATGTATTATATGATGCTTTAAACGTGATTTTATCGCAGTTCCCTTTAACATTTTATAAAAAAAAATGCATATACAAGTTTATATGCAGTTTTAATTAGTAATTTAGTACAAAAGAGTGATTTTTGTTCTGTAGAAAAAGTAGTTTAAAACGTGTTATCCTTCTAAGAAATCCGATAAATTGTTCCTGCTTAAACAAGAAACGTTGTAGAAAATTACTCCTCAAATTACGAGATTAAGTACCGGCACTTTGGGTGCATCATCCGTAAAATGCAGTTTTACCGTAAAATATTATACCGTAAATTTTTCAGTGATATTTATTTGTTATTCAGTAATTTTACGATAACCATTATTATATTGCGATTTGCTCCCTAAAATTTTTTGGTGAAAATAAATTTTACGGTACACAGTACCGGCACCTTGAATGCTGGTACTTTTATAGAAATTTAATTCGCAATTTTTTACAGTGTCCTTTGATAGAACAAAACTTGGTCAATAATTAATACATTTATTAATTAAATTTTTAAAATGCCAAAATCCATGATTTCTATTATTAATTTGAAAGTGTTTATCATTTAGAAGAATATTTTATCACCTCACAGATATTTCTAATAATCATTATTTTGTTCCAGTTATATATATTTTTTTTAAAAAAAACCACTATTATTTTCAATCGTTGTTGTATCATCTGTCAAACTCCCCATGAGTTTTCAATTGGATGTAAATTCAACTTAATTTCTGTGCCTAATAACGTAGTTGTTTCCTGAACGATGCCAAAAAAATTAAATCGTCATTCCATCGCCAAATAAATCAATCATTTCATCGGCAGTACAATTGCTTCTTCAATGGTGGAAAATAAGCGTTTATAAAATGTAACATAAATTGTTATTCTTCTGAGATCAAGCACATGAAATTATACTTACCTCTTGAACGGTTATTTCTGCTTTTTCTTCTTTTAATAAAGCAGCTGACAAGGATAATGTTTAAAATCAGAAGCAGTGTTCCAACTACTGATACTATTACAAGCAATAATTTCGGTAGTTCTGAGTTTTTGTCATTCAGAGCATCAAGGCTGGCACCAGTGGGTGACAAGTTTCCAGGTTTCCATTCTGAAAATTTAAAAAAAAATCTACATTAAAAAATTATAATTTACTGCTTCATTTATTTTTATTAAGAGTAAATTGATCTTATTTTATTGTAATTCATAGAACGCGCACAAAGAGCTCCAAAATACTTTGACAAAATTGTTAACTCGGTATTTTTATAGAAGTGTGCTAAGAAGAACAGTAGACTTTTTTTTTAAATTTTGCTGAGCAAATTGCCATTCAGTATAGGAGTTTAAAATTTGTAGAAGTATAGAGCACACAATAAGGATTGAGAATTGCATAGAATCTCGTGGATGAAAATTTCATTGTAGAAACGCTATCTAGTCAATACGTATTTCTTTTTTATACGTCTTTGAAATATAACTCTTATTCACCTAAATCATCTTAATTTTTTACTTTCTAGTAATTATTTTCGAAACTGTTATTTAAACAGGCTCAGATTTAAAAAATTTAATCAACATTTTAATGATTTGGTGAGTAACTTGACCAAATTGCAAAGGGGTTTTATTAACAAAAATATGTATAGTTTCGGCAAATTAGTTAAGATCACATATCATAATGATTAGCGAATATTTATTGTCACAATTGACCCTACGATACAAAACTGATCCTACGTTGCACTGCTGTCATATCAACTATGGTGGCAATGTAGAAATAGAAAATTGTACTATGAGTGTATAAATAAAGTTTTGTATAAATGTCTTTTTGTGTCCGTTAAACTATGCCAACTCATTCTATTCTAGTTGGCATCGTATATTACACGCTAACATAAGTACATATTTTAAGAATACAATATTATTAAGCATTATTCTTATGGGTTATTTTTCTTCGAACAACCTAGAGGAAAACGATGGGAGTAAGCAAATAAATTAAATCATTCCCACAACAGCCTAAACTTCACAATTTCAGGATCAAGGATGAGATACATTTATTTCCCATAAAATCAGCTACCCATAAACCTAAAGCTTGGCGAGCTTCAAGCCATTAATGATCAAACCCAGATCTTTCGAAATGACAGACCAGCGCCTTTGATCACAAAGCCATTGTGGTGCAATCAGAGAGGAATAAGGATTCATCTACATACTTATTAACCTTACGTGGTACCAAAATCGGGAATATTTTTCTATATAATTTGGCAACACTATATTAATCTATAATAATTTTTGTCAGGTTATCTTAAGTAATAATTTAAGCAGTATTAAATAACTAGTTATGCATATGTTAATATTTATATAGACTCAGTTTGTTGGGTTGTCTAAAGTGATACAGTATGACTAACTATTTAAAACTATTGAAGCTAAGTATTTATTTAAAATAATTTTGTATTTTTATTTAAATAAAAATTTAGTTATGAAGTATTTATTCAGATTGATTTTTGAATCATTCTAAAATTTTAGTTATGAACACTGCTATGGTGCCACTTTATGTGTCAGCAATTAATGTCGACGGAATTTATCTCTTTCGAGCAATAGAGAATACATTAAACAGCATTCAAGCTATGGATTGAGAGGTGCGTTAGGAAGTAGTACAGCATGCAATGAAACATTGATGTAAGCTTTCCATCTTATCTCACGACGGAGATGAATGCTACTTTAATTTCTACTGTCTACCATGCTGAAATGCTTTGAACTCATACTTAAGGTAGTTTGAGTGATTTAATGGATAATGGACAAATTTTAAATTAATATTAACATTCTGGATATACTTTGGTAATATCACGGACATCTCTTAAAAATTGCTAAAATTGAAATATTGTATTTCCGCGTGGTTTAAGCCTCTAGAATATCTAGTCATAACCAACTGTTTTATAGCAGTACAGAAAGAAACAAGTAGTCACGTACTTTGAGTGAAAGCACGGGCATTTTCTTGACTGTACATGCTTTCTCCCAACATATTTCTAGCGGACAAACTAAATGTGTATTCTTTTTCGGGTTCCAGGCCATTCAATGTGAAGACAGTGGTATTGGCAGGAAATACATCGGTGTACTTGGCATTGGTGGAATCTGTTTCTTGATAGCGAATTCGGAATTGCTGGGGAAGACCACTGCTGTAACCAGGAGTCCAGCTGAGTACAACGCTGTCTGACGAGGTATTTACTATTCGAATATTGTAAGGTGGATCGGGTGGTCCTAAAAATGATTGAAAGAAAAATGTCATTTTAAAACTATTTTTATATTGTATAGTAGATGTGGTGGTTGTGAAAAATGAAATAATTGAAAAATATATCATTTTACAAAGTTTATTGTAAATAGATAATTTATTCTACTAAATATATTCCATTAAATAAATGAGTTTCTTACTATTTGAATTTATTTATTGAATTTATTCCACTTTAGGTAAACTTAAGAAATTAAAACAAAATTTCAATATAATAAAAATTTAAATTTTAAATTCACTTAATCATTTCTGTTCTATGATAAAATTCTGAATTTGGACTTTTCATATTCGTGCGTTCTAGAAAATAAACATGACTTAAAAGGAGCATTTGAGATTTTTTAGGCTTATTACACTCAACGAATAAGCCTCGAAGAACGAAGAAATGAACAAAGAATTGAAGAATTTGCTTCAGCTTATTCTTCAAATACTGATCAAAGAGAGAGTCTCTCTTCTAACTCTTCCCACTCCCTCGAATAGGGGAACGATACTTCCCGTGTCCATCACACATTGTCCCTCAGTTCAGGTGCGTTCCAAATGCGTGGCAGTGGAATCGGAATCCTGACAGACTAATTAGTAGGTAAGTAGGTACTTCATTTAAGTCGCACTAGAGCTGCACAATGGGCTATTGGCGATGGGAAATATCCCTGAGGATGGTCCGAAGGCATGCCCTCACAATTCTGATCCTCTGCAGAAGGGATGGTTCCCCTGCTTTGGTAGCCCAACGACCTGCACGTGAAGTCGTTAACTTTACGGTAGATCAGTTTAATGAGGACCAATACCGAGCACCCTCGATCCCTACGCAGGTTGATCAAAGTGGCTACCCACCAGCTTACTGACCCCAACCAGTGATGCTTGACTTCGGTTTTCTACTGGGAACCGTGTGCTTACGATCAGTCCATCAGTTCATCTAGCCGTGTCTATACGATCAGGGACTGATCGTAAAGACACAGCTATACACAGACAGAAAAAACTAGAGATTTATTTTCAATTCACGTGGCACGCGCGTTGCGAAATTATGACACTATGTGCCAAGAGTTGGATTATTCATTTAAATTATCTTAAGATTTAAACAGCTTACCTCTTCTTCGAAGTTTAACTTTGACATGATCATGCCCAAGTTCATTTCGAGCGACGCATGTGTAGTAACCGAAATCGTTAGCTTGAAGGTGCTTGACAAAGAGGACGCTTTCCCATGTCATGTCGTCTAGTTGGGCAGCTTGAGAAGCGTATTTACTGCTGCTGAAGTTATCGCCAATAACACCGCCATTATATGACCAGACGAAGCTGATGGCTGGCGCCCCCTCCGCCAAGCAGACTAATCTGGCAGCCTCTCCTTCCTCTCCTGCCACATCTACAAAACTGTGTGGAAGTCGCACTTCCGGTTTGACTGCAATTGAAAATGAATAATTAAAGGCACGACTTTTGAAATTTATAGACATAACTATTCAGATAAATATTTCAATCCATATATCATTCAAAGAATTTTTAGAGCACACGGTCCAGATAAGATTGAAGGCTTGGTCAGAGGACCGGAAACTTACATCAATCTAGTAATTCTTCGATCTCAATTGAAGTAAGTTTGTGCATGCGACGAAAATATCTTTCATTTTCTAAGAATGAGTTCTTGTCAGTTAGTGAATTGTAGATTTAGAAATAAAAAATATAATTGGGGAAATATATCTTAGAAAGTTTGTTACAGCTATTTAATGCCTGAGGAATAAGACAGTTTTATTCAATGCGGAATCGCTTAAAGATATGAAAATTGATTGAAAAGTTCAGTGAGCAAATAAAAAAAATAGCACCCAAGTCCTAACCTTGGGTTTTCATGAACAGAGCACCGATCCTTAAAAATATCGACTATTTTGTTGAGGTATGTGATACAAAAAAAGTGTTTTTATTTTTTTTAAAATTTTCTCATAATAATCATCTATTTTTTTCAACGTATTTCGATTTTTATAGAAATATAAGGGATAGCCAAAAGCTTGAAAATATGGTGTCCCAATAGTTTAGTCAGAAGAATAGTCAAAGGTTTGGGCTCCTTCATATTAACTATTTCTGCATATCACCACATCTCGGAAGTTTTCAAAGAAATAAAAAAAAAATCACATAGTTAAAAATTTAATTTAACCAAAAATTCGAAAACCCAAAAGTGAGAAAGTATTTTTCGTGTATTTGCATTCATAACTTAATTAAGAGTTTGTACTAAAAATTGAACATATTTTAATTCACCTTTTTAAACTACTAAAACCGGGTGTTACATTTCGAAACTCTGACTGTTAGATGAAACACTATTCAGGATAAATTTTTATTTGCATAATCCACGTTATGATTACAAAAACAAAATTATTTTTTTAGTGGCTTAGTGACTGTGGTAAAAGGAAAACTCCGTGATACCTGACTTTAAAATCATCCATTGGTACTCACTATAATTTAATCGCAGTCATTGTCATAAAAGAATGTCATAAACGTATCTTTCATCTACTATGTTCATCTACTATCTTTTTAATGCATATGCCGTGTTCCATTCCGTATCCACTAAGTTGCAAATAAAAGGTTTTGAAATTACATCAATGTCATCCAGTTTTTTTTCCCTTCACATTTCATATGCATATTGATATTATACAGTGGTTGCGAATTTGAAAAGAAGGTCTTAAAGATTAACAAAAGCATCTCATGGCCAGAAATGTTATAGTAAATATAGCTACAGGAGCTTCCCTATTATCAACTGGCTGCTCGTTGAATTTTTACATTTTTTGCCTAAATGGCATTAATATTATTATATATTTTTTTTAACAATTATTGTCAACTTTACTTTCATATAGGCTCAGAAATAGCTATTTTACGCGTTCTCCAATGTTTTAACGACTGACTAGTAAAGCCTACCAAGTTCGGAACCAAATCATTAAGACAGATATTTCTAGATCTACTAAAACGCAATTTCTAATATTAATTCTAAGAAAACTTAAAATTAAAATTATTTAAATAACATGTAAGTTTCAAATTTAAATGTGCACGAACAATCAGTTCATAAAAAAGTGCATTTAACTCTTTGATGCAAATAAGTTACCGGTGTCCCTATTGTTAGTTTTTTCTGCCACCCTAATTACAAGCAAAATATATTTTGTCATTTAATTATGAAAGACGATCTAATAGTTACTAAAAAAATCTTTTAGATTATCCAAATTATATTTGTACAGCAAAGTAAGTTGGAAAAAAAATCAGATTCAACAATTTATCAATAATAGATTTCATAAATTAGTGAAATTTTTATAATGGATAATTGTTTCTCTTAGATGCAAATGAGTGAAAATTTGAAAGACTATTGTTTGGAAGATTTTACATTTAACGCAGAAAAAGACATCGATGTTTCATGCTGTATCTCCTAACCACAAATTATTAAAATGTTGAAAATAATATTTGTTTCACTTATTTTGACCTAATAAAATACAAAATAATGAAAAAATATGCAAAATAAATTAATGAAAACTCATTGTAAAAGGGTTTATGGCATGTCCGGACATGGTTTGTAATGCAATTTTAAATCCTTCTGGTGCTCCCATTTACTTTTGAAACGACTTTAAGGAATAATAACAGATATCGTAACAGCAGGTCAAATTAAAAAAGTTTAGATTCCTTTTAATGTTATAAAATTGATATCCTAAAATGGTACTACTCAGAATATCTAGGACACTCAAGGAGAATGATTGGCTCTGAAAATTGTTAAGTAATCGTTAAAAAACATCTCTTTAATTTTAATGCCTAACTTAATCATCTTTAATTTGCAATAATTACATATATATTAATCTAAATCGGTATGATGTAACCATAAAACTAAAAATACATTTAAAATGAAAGCATGTTGCTGATAGGTGTGGCAAATTGTCACCTAAATCTAAAAACCACTCACAACTCACACTTGACTATCAGCTGTGCCAACATCACCGCTTCTGTGCCTATACCATTGAAGGCGACACATTCAAACTCGCCAGCATCCTGTCTTGACACGTTCATCACTGTTAGTGTTGATTTGCCTCGCTCCACTGTTTCGTGTGTCCGACTCATATCAAATCCTTTACGCCGCCAAGTGATCATGCGACTAACAAATGGATTGGCTACTGCTTGGCATTCAAAATCAGCATTCTCGCCACTTCCCGCAACAACGTTACGCGTTAGCTTTGTTATCCTAGCTGGATCTGCAAATAAAATACAGTAATACAGTAAAATTGAAATATAAAATTACAGTTATCAAAATTTTAAAAATAGTGATCAAAAACTTGTAGTATAATAGCAACTCTATCGTATAAACTTAATAAATGCTTGAAACTAAATTATTTTTACAATTTAGCCTGATTTGTGTTTGATAAATTAAATACAAGATGTAACACAATGTAACGTTTGAGATAATGCCTATATAATGCAAGAATACAAGATAATATCAATATATAACGAGAATACAAGATAATACCCATATAATGTTTGTTTACCTCCAAAAATAGACAACTAAAAGAAGAATGACGAATGAATCACTAACTTATATAACTTGATAAGTGCCATCCAGAATTTTTTATTAATGCTTTGTAACAGAAGGTATTTTTAATTTGTGTAACCAAGGGGAAATAACAGAACTAGAACAGTATATAAATTATTATCTGCCTTAACTGAATATTAAATCTACGAGAAAGTAATTTTCGATTCAATTTGAACTGGTCTCTTCGAGTTCTGTAACGTCGTGACTCATTAATAGCCTATTATTACAAATATATAAACCTTGTATCTATGCCATAATTAAGAGGAAGAGGGATAAGGATGAGCTATTCAGATTCGAAGGACTGTTGGAGCTAGACTGTACGACCTAGTAATTGTCGGATTTAATGAAGTTATTCATTGCTAAGTAATAAACCATAGATCATTCCTGAAAATTTAAAGATGAACTTTTTTTTATACATGATTTTTTCTAACAAAAATCATGCTTACACTTGCACTCGGCTTTATTCCACTACTGAGATAAGGCCTGGGGGATATGTTAACTCCATGGAGAAAATTTGAAAACACTATAGACTTTCAGTGAAACAAGTAACAGGCATTTTTATTTCTTAATGACCATTTAAGAAAATTGTGTAGGTACTCAAAAAGGGGGGAGGGGAGCGACAATTATCCCAGAACCCGGGACTTCTGAGAAGCTAAAAAAATTCCTTAGAAAAAAATATAGTGTATATTAGCTATTTAAAAAAAAAATCACAGAGAAGTTCTTTACTTCTATATAAAAACTACAATTTTGTATAAAGGGTCTTCAACTATGCTATTTTGCAAAAATTTCATGCTATTTTGCAAAATTTTATTAAAATCAATAAATAATTCTCAATTTTCGAAAATTTGTATGATCCCTGATGATGCAGCATTCGGGTAACTTTTTTAAAAAATAAGAAGATCACAAACGCTTTACATTTTTTTACAAAACTATTTGGCTTTATTTCTTGGGGATGTTTTGTGTCATTTTCAACTTAGCATTGAAGGCGCTGGTTAAAGATGAGCTTAACGTAACCACACAGTCACTCAGAGTCATAAATAACTATTGAAAACTCACAGCAGTTATAAGAATGTAATATTATTCGCAATAAAGGCAACGTTCATGTAACAACACAATCTTCGGGAAGCAGCCTTACCCATTTGTACCTTGCTTCCTATTATTAGTACGGCTCCTTTTTCCAAAAAAGAAAAAAGTGGTATCACACTAGTTTCCTTATTAATATTTATGTTCAAAATCATGATAGGGTAAACTAACCAGTGAAGGAACACTTAAGCTTTGCTTGCCTTTCAAAAAATCATATTAATTTCAAAATTCGTAATTTTAGTTAAATGACAGTGTCAACATATTTGTTACTTATTGCAAATTATGTAAAAAAATTGTAGAGAACTTACATAATATTGTTTTAAAGTTTTGGAGGTTCAAATAACAAATAGTAAGAAGACCAAGTGAAGGAACAGCTCTTACCAGTGAATGAACACCCAGTAAGGAAACACTTAATTTTGGTTATTTTTTAATGCTCTTTATGTATTTATAAGCCTTACAAATATTTAAAAACAAGTCTATTCTTGAAATTATAACATATAAATACTTGGAAAATGTTAACTTTTTTTTGTAATCATGAAATGAAAATTAAAGTGTCAATATAGTAACACATACTGTTCATTAACTGGGAAATCTATGCCCAGTAAAGGAACATGCCTGTTCCCTTACTGGTTAGAAGTTGTTTTTCGTATTTTTAACGTACTTTTGATGCGGAACATCACTAAAGGTACAAGAAAATTAAAGTTTATCTTTTATTTTCATTAGTTTAGAAAAAAAAACCAGTAAAGGAACACTTGTTCCTTCACTGGTTTTCCATCGTTTGGTGATCCAGTGAATAAACACCCCCTTATCTCAGTACTTTATTATGCTATGATGCTTGAAAAAAATAAAATTTAACTTCAATAACTATATTTTGAATTCTCTTTTTCACAGTGACTATTACATGCAATTAATTCCACTACAAACATATAAATACAAACACTCACCTTATAATTTTTTCAAAGAAACAAGGTGTTGCAGAGATAGTAATAAATTCAAAAATTTTTCCAGAGATGTCTATTTAACCAGGTAATCCAAAACATTGCTAGATGACTTACTATTGTTTGGCAGTAAGCTATTGTTACCAATCAATCTAAAGAAAAACTTTCAAATTCTTATTTTTAATCAATATATATGAAATGTTTGTTCTCTGGGTAATGTTCCTTCACTGGTTGGTTTACCCTAGTTCTATCTACAGCTACATAACAATAACGTAAATATTCATATTTAGATCGAAAGTCAAGGAATAATGCTTTTTAAAAGGCAAAACGGTAAGTAACAGAAAGAAACATTTACTTCGTGTAAACTACTACTACTACTGCTGTTTTACATATGTAGGCCACTTTTCTGGGTTAGGCATTAACAGGTTAAGAGCTGTTGAACCAGTGATAAAATTCGATCCAGGTAATATCAAATTATAGAAAATAGTATTACAAATATTTTACATCCATTGAAAACATGTACTATAATTCAATGTTACGATCAGCTGATACTTACAAATGACATTTATATTAACACTTGTCCACGTAACGCCTTCAGTGTTAGCAGCTTCACACCCGTATTCACCCCCATCTTCTCTTGCCACGTCAGTAAGTTCTAAAAGAGGACCTCTGTACACGGCTCTGTGTCCATATCTAGCTCCGCTGGGTCTTGCACTTCCGTCTGCCATGTCCAGCAATGGCAGACCATTCCTTGTCCATGAGTAGGTCACTAAAGGAGGATTTGCTTTCGCTGTGGCGTTGACTACTGTGGATTCGCCCTCCATAACATCAAAACGTTCTGCAGGGTTAATAAGGAATTCCGGTTTATCTGTAAAATAAAAAGAAGGTAACGGGTTTTAAAATTGTGAATATATTCTTAAAGGTTGGATGAAATTTCATCAAACTAGACCCATAGCATTTTATGCAAAGGCTCAAGAAAATTTGTTTGATTAAAGGGTAGAATCGCTGGCCTTTTCACAACGGAAAAATTTCGACGAATCAACAAATCGCTGAAACTCCATTTCTGGTTGCCACGATTATTTTTGTTTTCATTGACGTCACCTTAGGGTTACCATAATTTTTGCTTAACGTTATGCGATTGGTTCTTAATGTAATTTTATCTTTGCAATAAAGACTGTCCGAAAGACAAATGTATTTTTTTTTTTTTGGATTGGAGCAAAAAGGTAAAATTATGATATTTGAAAAGGAAATTACATCTCTTTTCACTATTTATATACATGTTTAATAATATCCGTTGATAAATTAACATCTATTACAAATGTTAAAACATTTTGCATTGTGTTTCAGTGGTTTTAAAAAGATTTTTATGAAAACACAACAAAAATCCATTACTTTTTGGCACCGTTCTTGGCGTTAAAAAAATTGCAGAAATAAGAGAGATACCCTATTGTAAGCTTACCATTTATTTCATGAGATATGATCCGTTCAGAGTAACGTAGAATTTTTGGGTCAGTTAATTTTAAGGTTAAAATGCAGAATTGGCGGCCCCTTAGTTTAGACCCACGGTTTGTCTGACACCCCGTTTCTGGTAACCATGATATTATTTGCTGTCTTTTCTTTCGATAACGTCATATTCGCATTACCGCAACTCTTATTTCTGTTATGTGAAAGGTTCTTAGTTTACTTTTTGGATATTTTATTTTAGTTACTTTAAAAACATTCTAAAATACATAACAAAAATCTAATATTTTTTGGCACTGATCTTGGCAAAAAATCACTGGAATAAGAGGGAATCTCGATTGTAATCTATTACAAATTTTAGAAGGCATCAAACAGAAAAGAGTATATGATGGAATGATGAAATTAGGATACTACTATATTGATACTATAGGAGATTAGTGCATATGCTACTGATATGTTAATGCTGGAAACGAAATTGAATACAATACCAACATTTAACCGACAAATAATTAAATGATTTATTTAATACTTTAAGACACATTGCCACACCATGTTATACAATATGCCAAGTAAAAAATCGACAAAGTATGAAATACGGCGATTACATACTTCTAATTAGTATAATAATGATATATTTAATGTTTTAACACTAGTAAAAGTAAGAAGTAAATTTCCATTTTACTCAATTTAATAAGAGAGGTATCGATTTTTAGTGACTGCAATGCTAAGTAATTATAGAAACCGAAATACTAGTCTGGCATCGATACCTTTACCGTTTTCCACTATTCATTAGCAATTTCTTTAAAGCATCGCACAATTGCCCGGTTTATTCTTTTCCAGCATTGCCGACACTGATTTATTTCTAAATAAATGGCCACTACCCGGTATTTCTAACGCAGATATTATATTTTATTTTATAACCGTCATTGAACAGCCGATCCACTTTTTTTTGTTTACGACTACTTATATTCAACTAGGTAGCCTTGAAAATCCAGAAGACAAGGGAACTTCTGGATCAAGCATTGGGCGAAATTTTGCCTTCGTGGAGGACATTTTTAATAGACCTAGCCTACCTTTGCGTTACATGGAGAGGAAGACCACGAAAACCTCCTATGGTTAGCCTGACGGCAAGGAGACTCTTATCCATGATCCGTCTACCACTGCGGATATTTCACGTCGGCACTGTGGTCGGTGCACGTCGGATGCAGAATTCGTATCGACCAAGCATCGCCGTGATTCGAACCCAGTTCACCTCATTGGAAGGTGAGCGTTCTATCCCCTGAGCCATCGCGACTCGCAGATATTTAAAGGCAGTTCCCTGGTACTGATATTTTTTAAATCGGATATTACTGATAATGGATGTCATCAAAACTGTTCACTGCGCTCGCCTGAAAGTGATTTGCTGGATTCCTTTCAGATTGCTAAATTCGCTCGCTCCATACTTATCCAATTTAGTCTAACTTGGTACTCATTTTCTAGAAATAAGAATTTTAACTTTTGATTGTTAGTTAAAAAGCATACGCATGTCCTAAGTAACGATATTTCTTCCAATGTTCAAACTGTCTAAATTGCAAAAACAAATTCTCTACTGGGATAGTAATAAATCAAAAAAAATTTTTTCTTCGTAAGAACAGAATAAAAAATTGAGCAAGATCAGTTTCCGGGTGACTAACTTTCACTTGTTCTTTTTATCAATGAAACAAGTTCCGTCGGATGTACTTGAGCCGCTAATTGAAACCGTCTACAAGAACTCAATTTCCGAATGAGTTCCTTTTTTTTATTTCCTCTCAAAAGCTAGCTGTACTCAAAATAAATTCTTTTTCTGCCATTCGATAGTAAAGTAATCTGACATTATCTAAGACTTACCCTCTCCATTTCTTTTATCTCGTAGAATTGTTTTAACATCATTTTTTTGAGTCAGCAATTTATCCTCTGATAACTTACCAGTCTTTTCTTTTCCTTCCGAAATAAATATCTTTAAATACCATAGATTTTATTTAGTTAAAAAGTAAAAAAATACCGCATTCGAATCAATAGGGTTGCCGAATTTCAAATTTCCTTTAGATTGCGAGGATCTAAATAAAATTCTGTACGCATTTCGAAACTATTACTTAATTGAAAAACTCCAATCGGGTAATCATATTTATTCTTAATTATTTGCATCAATATACTTAATTATACTTATTTATTCGCATCTTGATTTATAAAAAGTAACGGTCGATATATTTTAAGCTATCAAAAAACAGGAGCCCATTTTCATAATTCCATACCACATCTCCATAGAGCCTGCAAATGCATTTCCCCTTTATTTGCCCCTCTCAGTCACTGTGGTTTTTCTTGTATCTGTTGTTCATCCTTTTTTCTCTCTCGGCTACGGTGATTTAGTTTTTTGTTCGCAACTTTACGTTTGATATTTCAAATCAGTTTGGTTTCTTCTCATTCATATCTGATAATTCTTGAATACTATTGAATATGAATCGAATAATATGATATTCATAATATTCGAAATTAGTTACAAAAGTTGGCAACAGCAACGGAGTTCAAAGGAGATTATGTATTGCAATAGCATTTCACCACGCCATTCTTTATAATCCGAGTTTATTTTTACAGCTCTATAGCTCATAACAAAATCAATTAACCGCCTTAAAGCAGCATGCAGCGTTAACTGTTAGCAAATGTTTTAAGAAATCTCGAATAATTTTTATTGCATCTACTCGTTCACTGGGGTAACTCTGCAATGGGATACCTGCAAGTGATGTAGCATAGGTATCTCGATCCTGATTGGTTGTTGGAACGTGGTATTTGTTTGCGTTTGCCGCTGCTCTTTCCGAAGTATGCTGAAATCAGCCAAGTATGAATTCTCTTGAGTTCTATATTCTTTCACAAAGTAAAGGCCAATGCGCGACCCAGGTGCCCAGCTCAAATTTCAAGACAAAACAAGATATTCTTTCACATAGAATTCATTCCTTTCACTACATATTCTTTACTTAACACAAAGACAGGCACGAAGCCACGTAGAACATAAAGAAACCAATCATGTATCGAATTCGCCAGGTCCAAAAAGCAAACCTATATCACGGTTACAATTAAAGACGTAAACAAATAAAAACTCCAAGTTAAGTACAAGACGTAGAAGATAAAGAATTATATTTCAAAAAATTCGATGTGGGATACGGTTCTGTATGTACTGAATTCCTTAAAATTCTAAATGTAATTACATAAAATTCTAAATGTAATTACTTAAAATTCTAAATGTAATTACTTAAAATTCTAAATGCAATTACTTAAAATTCTAAATGTAATTACTTAAAAAATTCTAAATCATGTGGGGAAACAACTTTACAACTTTACAGCACAACTTTAAAGGCCATTTTGCTTATAAGCGATCAGCTGGCGCTGTCATCATAGGTTACATGTGTGGGTATTTATGATCTTCTTCGTTTTCAAGTGCAAGTACCCAATTAAAGTCTGCTATAATATATATGTTATATTATCGGGATAGATGTATTTCCAAGGTAAATGCCAATGCAAAAATTATTAAGTTTAAGAAAATAGTAAAACAAGACTTACACAATACACGGAGAACATACGTCTCGTGAACAGTTCTTTTCAGAATATGATTGGTGGCTTGGCAGGTATAAGATGTCATGTCATCTGATGACGTCACATTGAATTTGACTTTATTCCGGGTACTTTTTCCACCATATGTTGAATCTATTACTCCATCATGCTGGCCCGTAATGGACTCTCCTTCTCTCCACCATAAGATGGTTGCGTCTGGATTGCTACTGGCTGTTTCACACGTTAGCGTGACCTAGGAAATATTTTCCATGCGTTCGAATCACTGCTAATAACTATATAATTCTTATAATTTAATTTTTCATACATTTAATTTTCAGCAAAAGAAAATGATCAGAATCTAAACTAACGTTTTTGAGTTTTAAAAATGTTATCCCTTTATAAAATGAACTGAAAAAGAGTGTGTCAAAATATAGTGTTTCATAATCAACGATTTTCATCTATATCTCAGTATGTACACGAATTATTAATTCAATAAAAGTGTGTTTTAAAAGGTTGTGCACCCTTACACTATAAAATGAAGTAAAAATATTTTTTTTTAAATATTTTTATTTATTTCACATATCAAATATAAATAACTCTTAACCAAACTTTGATAATAATTATTGCAAGATAGTGAGTTATATACACATATAGTAAGATTAATTTATATTCAATGTTATATGCCAGTATGTGCATACACATTTAGTACTTTTTCTAAATTCCGCTTTTCCATCGCAATTATTAATTCCTTATTAATTCATATTAAAATAATTTTAGTTAAAATGCATAAATTAATTTAAATTAAAGTAAAATGAATTATTGTAAATACCCGAATGTATCTTTATTGTGTTGTTCTTTCATATTATAATTTTTAAAATTTGTGTTCAGTCCGAGCTGAGCACAGGTCTATGTACGCGACAGCTCGGAAGGAATTAAATTAATCAAAAATTAGCTTATTCCTTTTCGTGAATTTGAATGTACTCACTTTAACTAGAAATCGACTCAACTGATTTTTAGATCATTCAATCTTTCTGTTATTCTTATTTGCCTTAGTTTCCGGTCTGAGTTAGAAGCGTTTTTTTTTTTTTACTTTAAATAAAAATTTATAACTTTTTAATAAGTTTCTTTTTTATTTATAGCTTACTTTTAATTCAAATTTTGATAAAATATCGAAAATAAGTCCACTGGAAAGTAATATTTTACATTATTTATTCAGTTAATTTTAATTTTTTTGGAAATGTATATCTAGTTTCACGCATTGCACTACAAGTCTTACGCTCCAATTACCAACCACCTTTCAAAGTGTTCAATATTTAAAAACTTGCTTTACATTAAATAACCGAGGTGTTGCATAAATATTGATACACATTTTAAGTTACACTAGTTCACTTCAAAAGGATGGAGAATTACATGGTAATCCTTGACAAAAAATGTCCTTGTATGACACTAAGGGCACTTCCTTACGATGATATTTTCTTTTCCCTTTTTGGCGAGATAGGTTGCGTGTATTAAATTCTGCATTTTAGGTAGGTCGAAGATTTAAAAAAAAGGAGAAATGCAAAATGTAAACATAACTTTAAAAATATTTTAATGTTTCGACTAGTTTTAATCGAACTTATTTCAAAAATGGCAATTACCATAATTATTATTCATTAATTAAGATTTTAGTATTTTTTTTATTTCATTCATTGAAAAATATGTTGCATTGATCATTGTTACGAATTTCAGATTTCAAGGTGTCAGATAGGTTCAATGAAACACATATTATGAGTAAAATAAAACAAGTAATGTTTCAAAATTTCAGTTAATTACTTAAAAAATAAGAAACTTTTTTAAGTAGAACAACATGGAATAATTTGAATCTCTTCAGGCAAAAAAACAGCCCTCATATTTTAGGGTTAATATCATAATGACATATTGACCTACTTACAAAATCTCCTGCTTTAGGTTTTCTTGGTTTCAGTTTGATGGATACAGAGGTTGGTGGAACTAGAGAAGAAAAAAGTGTGTAACTACCAGTTTTAATATATATATATATATATATATATATATATATATATATANAACCAAAGATAATTATATATATATATATATATATATATAGTTATAAAATAATAAATAAAATGCTATAAACATGGTTTTAGATTTAAAATTACAAATAGCTTACTCAAGATAAAATGGTTGAAAAAAATGGCTTTCTCATATCAATAAGAAACTTAACCTATTTTTCCAAACCTAATTTATTTGTTTGAAGAAAAAAGCACTGCCATGATAAATCGCACTAGTACCAACATAGGCTTTTTTGTAGCACTTGAGGCTCTTTTTGTAGCATTTTCGAAAATGTCTATAAAATACACTTTTACCCCATCTTCATAATAAATTTTTAATCCAGTAGAACGATTAGATACTATTTAATTTTATATGGGCCCTGAACTTTATTTCATGTAATGATGTTTCTTTTAATAACATCCTGTAAACTTTGTTCTTCTAAAATAGGGCTTTATTTGTTTTAAGGATCAGTATAGTATAAGAGCAAAGAAAGAAGGAAAAAGACAATATCTACTGTAACTTACATAGCACTGTAGGAGACACGGTAGCAATGAGAGGCTTTGTCAAGGCACTATTGGTAGCTTCGCATCTATATACAGCACCATTGTCACTAGCTTCTGTTCTGATGATTAAGTCACTTGTAGTGCCAGCAATGGTGCTCTTTTCCACAGCCCGTATCTAGAAGGGTTTATTAAAAAAAAAANAAAAAAAAAAAAAAAAAAAAAAAAAAAAAAAAAAAAAAAAAAAAAACACACAATTTAGAAACATTTTAATTTTATTTTAAAATTACTATTTGAAAGAAATGAAATCGTGATTGAATCGTACTACAGTCAAACCCCGGTATAGTGAACCTTCAAGGGACCGACATTTTGGTTCACTATAACCGGGAGTTCACTATATCCGTTAGCAGACAATTTAACTAATGGTTCCTTAAATCCTCACTCTTATTTCACATTATTCAAATAAATGACTGAAAAATATTATGTAGTAGCAAAAGATGTGTTATTTTTTTATTACTCTTCGTCTTGCGTATAAAAAAAATCTTGTAATCTTTAACTGATGAGCAATCCTCAACATCAGATATGGAAAGACTTCCCGACTCTCAGATAATTTTTCCTGAATTTCTGTTATTCCGCTTTTTAAACCTGTCTAACCTGCCATTCGATTACATAAAAGTAGTCTCACAAAACGGCTTAGCAAAGTCTTCGACGTTTGTCCAGATACTGGAAGTTTGCGGCTTCTTCGAATGCTGAACCACTTCAGTAACGCTTTTTCAACATCCTTGTGATCTGCTTTCTTTTCTCAACTTTTACCTGCCATCTAAATTTCTTTCATGAGCAGAAATTGGTAATTAACTATTTTTCCATTTGTAACAAACTGTAGATTTGGAAAGTTTATATTCCCTGTAAATATCAGCTTGATTTCATCCATTTTCAATTTTTTGACTATGCCCATCATTTTATCATCAATGGAGAACATTTTACGTTCACTGCTCGCCATAGTTGAAGCTGAGACACTTGTTTGCAGGCTTTTTTTAACTGAACTGAGAGCCAAAAAGAGTTGAAATGAGGGTCTTATCAACATAGATTAGTTGACCAATAATGAATAATTACTCATTCCCTCTGACAGAAAATGCATATTGATCCCACTGACGCTTTACAGGTGCATCAGTTGTGCCTGAGTTGGAAGCATCTGCTTGGTTCATTTAGGGATGGGAAAGTGAGATAAAAGAAGCTAACAAGAAAAAGTGCTTATCGCTACATTCCCCTCTATAAATGGTTTTAAAAATCTAAAAATCGGCATATGTATTTATTTTGAAGTAGAAAATTTCAAAACTATTAAAAAAAAATGAAGAAAAAAAGTAGTCGAAGACAGAAAAATGTTCATTATATCCAACTTCCTCACTTTTTTGGTTCACTATATCCACAAAAAATAACATTATACGTGCATAGCAAGGCACGGGACCGAGCATTTTGCTCACTATATCCGGGGGTTCACTATAAACCGTGTTCACTATAGCGGGGTTTGACTGTATTAGATTTACCGTAATACGAGTTAGAAGTTCAACTCACTAAAAGTAAGATTAACTATATATTTAAATATATACTTTCATTCAATCTGTGATATTTAGAATTGACAGCAATTTTTCCAAGTCTTGATAATTTCACTTACTTCCTTACACTTAATTAGAGTCTAAATATATTGACTACGAAAATCACTATCACTCTTAATTGTAGGTCTCATTAGATTCCATTACTGATTTTGCACGTGCCAACAAAACAGAATATTTTTAAACCAAAAGGCTAAATTTTCTCGTACCGCTAGAGGTGCAGTAACTACAAAAAAGCCATTAAAATTTCTTTTTTTTTTCTGAACCTAAACTATTATAGTTTAGCGTTGGNATATATATTAATAGAACGTTCGTTTTTAAATGTGATATCCCAGGTTCGAATCCCAGCGATAGCTGGTTGATACGAATTCTGCTTCCGGCTCGCACAGATCACAGTGCTGTAGTAAAATATCCTCAATGGTAGACGAATCATGGGTTAAAATACCCAAGTCATATGGCTTGGTTGGTGGTTTACTTATTCTCTCATACCTGTAATGCAAATGCGGGTTAGTTCTATTGAAAAAGTACTCTCCAAAGGCAAGCTTCTCCAAACCCTTGATCCAGGAGTTCCCTTGTCTATTTGGGTTGGGTTCAAAATTACAAGACTATGGAGTTAAGCATTGATAATCGTAAACTTAGAATTGGTTCTACTGCTTAACGCTGGTTATAAAAAGAATTAAAATGTACGAAAAAAAAACAATGATCAGAGAAATTCAAACGTGACCCTCTGCTGTTAAGTCTTATCAAACATTAGAACGGAAATCTAAAATTTAAAATCTTAAGAAAAGCTTGTATGGATTTATTTTTTTCTCTTTGAAAAAATTATTGTTACCAGACGAGGAAGCAATCGCACAGAAGGGGGGAAAAGTCCTGATACAAACATTTCGATGGCTTGACATATAAAAATGCTTGGGAAAAGTTTTAAAGTATGTCATAAAAACTCCTGCATACCCAACGGGTGGAGTGGTGTGTATTTCGGTAAGTGCAAACTAAAATCCTTTAAAATTCATTCAAAAACCTAAGACTTCTAGATTTCCTAAAACTTCAAACATTCTTTTTTGAAGCAAAATTTTTTATTTCGTTAAAAATGCCGGTTTTCTGAACAAGAAGAAAAATATGTATATTTTCCCCTTTTTTCGTATGCATATTTTCTCTTTTTTAATAATAATGTCTACATATTTTAAAACTAGGCTAATTTTACCATTTATTTATAATACGCAATATTATCTATAATTGATAAAACAAGGAAAATTACATTAAAGAAACCGTGAGATAAATTTCATTCAATTATACTAAACAGTATCACTGCATTAAAATTTTTGAAGATGAATATAAATCGTAACTATATAATAAAATGCACATGAATTGATTACAACTTTTTTTATGATAAATTATTAAATTATGATAATCATGAATTACAGAAAAAACTCCGTCTAGTAGGAATGTCTGACAATTAAAAAAGAAAAACTGGTTAAAAAAATTATTGTATCTGAAATTGTAAGAAATTAGCGTATTTAAAATTGAAATTACTCTCTTTTCAGTTCAATTTTCTTTAACATTTTTTTAAATTCCCCACGTTTTGTCTAAACAGCCGTCAGCTGTCCTCGCTACTCATAGAAAACTAGTTTGGATACATAAAATTTTCTTAAGTTTTTTGAGGTTAATGAATGAATAATCATCATAAGTTAGTAGTAATGATTTGAAATTTTAGAAAAAATCTGAAAGTTCAGTTCATAGAAAAGCGCATTTAGTTTAACGTTGTGTTTTCCAGTGTTGGCATTTGCCCAGCCAAATGGAGGATAGAGTCTTTGTCTAACACTCCCTAACCAACGTTTCTATTCCATGTTTTTAAGGCTGGGTATTTGATTGGATTTCACTTCCAGCAACTATGCGTTAGTCCTTCAAAATTTACCCTAATATGATGTCTGAATGTTTTGACGCCGGGTAATTGGGGAGCGTTGTGTGGAGACAGAATGATTGCCATATTGCTATACTACAATCAACCTATTTTTTTCCTGTATACAAGGTGTTTCACAATCTGTTGATATATAGTTTTAAAACCTTGAGACAAAGCCAAAAAAGCCCATTTATTTAGGGTCTCAAACTAATCATTCGATGGACAAAAAACAAATTAGCACTATCGAATTCCTATGAATTATTTGCTTAGCTGAGGAAACCTGTAGATGCTTTGAATAATCACTTTTCAACTCGCTTAGTATACTCAGTTCCACCTTCCACAATAGTGCTTCATTAGTTATCAACATTTTTTGCTTAGTCTTCGCTTAAATGTTAATTTGATATATCTGTGGTAAATACAAAAATGATTCTAAATTGTATCTGTAAATGTTCATTATTACGGAACAGCTTTGCATGAAACAAAGCACGATAAATAATTTAAAATTGTGGAACATGGATAGTTTAAGTTTTGCTATAAAAGGAAATAATTTTAATTTGTTTTCTTCAACAATGAACTAATAACTAGTAAATAAAACAATTAGTATGTTACGTTCGCGAAAGGCAATTTACTGAGCCATTAATATCTTTCCACAAAGAAGCTCCATCACTAAATATTGAGCATCATTACGAAAGTGTCTTCCAAATAGATCCGGAATTCGCGGGAACAGAATGATTTATAACACCCTCTGCTGTTCCCTCATCTGTACATTTCCTATTATTTGTTGCACAGAAAATGGGAGACGGAAACTGTTTTAGCAGCTCAGAAACCATAGATAGAATATTGGTTTTCTCATCATGGCACTTATGAACGTGAGCGTGGTCGTCTTTCCGAAGACGTAATGANTCTCAATAGCAAGCTTGTAGTAATCACGTTTTTTTATTGAAATTTGCCTATGTAGGCTTTTATAGAGTAAAAGATAAAATTTGATGACCAATATATTAAGATAAAACATAATAATTACTTACTAACACGGAGTAAATTATTTCTAAGTACAAAAATATTTATAGAATAACTGATATATTGTTAGTTTAATGGAATATTTTATACCACAGGCGATAAATAGAAAATGAAGGCCGTTAGATAAATCATGCACTTATATTTCAATGTGCGGAGTAGGCAAGGTTTGTAGTTATATGAAAATTGGAGCAATCACGCTTTTTATTGAAAGTTGCTAATGTAAAAGATAATATTTGATGGCCATAATATTAAGATAAAACATAATAATTATTTACTAATGCGTAGTAAATTATTTCTAAGTAAAAAAATATTTATAGAATAACTGATATACTGTGAACTAAATGGTTATTTAATGTTTCTCTTATCTTTGTTAAAAGAAAATCTTTTGAATGGGTAGTATTGTTTCTTTTTGCTTTTAGCCTCTGTAGGCTTTTATAGGATAGAAAATAAAATTTGATAAATAGCATATTAGGATAAAACATTAAAATTATTTGGATAGTGGATTGAGCATAAGTTACAGGATTATAAGTGATAATAGAAAGAGGCCAACTCTTTGGATAATCTTCTCCGCATTGGTCTGCTAAACGTTATAAAAAGTTCAATGGAATATTTTATACCACAGGCGATAAATAGAAAATGAAGGCCGTTAGATAAATCATACACTTATATTTCAATGTGCGGAGTAGGCAAGGTTTGTAGTTATACGAAAATTGTAGCAATCACGTTTTTTATTGAAAGTTGCCAATGCAAAAGATAATATTTAATGGCCATAATATTAAGATAAAACATAATAATTGTTTACTAAAATTAGATGTTTTATCTTAAGTAAAGCTTAAGTATCGTATTAAATTATTTCTAAGTACAAAAATATTTATAGAATAACTGATGTACTGTGAACTAAATGGTTATTTGATGTTTCTCCTATCTTTGTTAAAAGAAATTTTTTGGAATAAGTAATATTGTTTCATTTTTATTTTAGCCTCTATATGCTTTTATAGGATAAAAAATAAAATTTGATGAATAATATACTAAGATAAAACATTAGAATTATTTGCTTAAATATTAAAAATTATTTCTGCGTACTAAATGTATTTATATAATAAAGGATATATCGTTGGTTTAAAGGTTATTTCATTTTTTCTAAGCATTGTTGTAAGAAAATGTTTTTGGAATAAATAATATTGTTTCCATTTTTAACTTCGCAAAACATAGCTTTTTTAGGGCATAAAAATAGTTTGTGGATAATTTTATATATATTAAAAACATAATATGTTAACGAAATTTTAAAAATAGCTCAAAAAATATTCTACGAATGAAAATAAATCTTTTAACTTATTTATATACATGGAAATTAACGAGGACATTATTAATTAAATGAATGTTTAGAATCTTAATGAGTATTAAGGTAACAAAGATTTTAACAAAAAATAATTGTGCTTATTTTTGATTTTTGGCAATATAAGCTTTCTGAAGCAAAAAAAAATTTTTTGAAGATTCATATATAGAGAGTGTAAAGTATAACAAAAAAATAAATAATATTTATATTTATAAAAATTTATTAACTATAAAATTTAAATTCAAAAACAATTGTTAATAAGTACTTGAAGTTTTTTCATATTATTTTTATTATAGTCTCATGTCTCAGATCTATAGATTAGGACAGGTTTGAAGTTTTCTCGTGTTATTTTTATTACAGTGCCATGTCTCAGATCTATAGAGTAGGACAGGTTTAACATTAGTATTGGAAATTCTAATTTTTGCTGAATTTGTTATGCTTTTGCAGAATTTATAGAGAATAGCGTAACTGCTTTCGGCTTTGTATAATCTATTTAGCACATCTTCATCTGCTCCTCCTTTGTTGTTAACCTTTTGCGTACGGCCGGTACAGCATGTGGACCACATGTGATAGTACAACATGGTGCACTTCACGCAAAGGATTAATTATTCTCTCAAGATAAGTAAAACTGCTTACCTCCTCTAGCTTATAATTTTCTAAGAATATGTCATTTACTTGTTTAGGATTAATTCACAAATTGTTTGTTTTATTTTGGTTGATCATAAGCCCTATTTTCTTTGTCTTTGCGTTTAAGATGTTTGTGTTTGTTTGAAGTGTGTTTAGTAAACATATGGCGTTTGCAAAATCAGGTTCAGAAATATATTTAATAAGCTCCCAGCTTATAACCCTTTCATTTTCTGATACCTTCTTCATAATAAAGCTCACAGCAATTAAAAGATTGCTCTAGGAAATATGTAACTCTGTCTAACACTATGTCTATGCTTGAAAGAAAACAAAATTCAGAACTTTCAGAAAAGGATGTTCTCTTTCGCTAAATGCTTGAGTAAGTGTGAGTTTCGCTTAAGCTTGAGTAAGTGTGAGTAAGTATTTTTATATGATGAGGATTTTTTATACCTCTGCAGTGTAGACTGTAAAAATAAAAGAAACAGTAGACAAGATTTTCTATTAACATTAAATTTTTTTCTTTTAAATTTTAATGTAACAAAAATAAGTCAGTATGTATATTAAAAAATGTGTGCTTGTGGACGTGTGCTAGTCTGCGCTTCTGCGTGAGTTTGTTCTTTTTATTACATTCGAATCGTTTTTGTTTTTGTCCTGAAATTTAAAGAGGGTGAAAGAATACATTTTGGGCTCAATTCTTAGAAACCATTAAAAATTTTCAATTGGGAGGCTAGAAAAAGGATATTTGTAATATGTTTCTCAGTACGCATTGTTACAAATTAAATAGCTAACTATTTTTTTCTTTTTCTTTTCAGTCCTTTAAAAGATAACTCTTACAGTATTTATAAACATACGAACTCATTTAGTAGAACTTAGTTTTATTGGAAATCTTGCTCTAGTATATTAAAAAGAAGACTGGCCAGTTTTTATTTAGGTTAGGGCAGGAAAAAAGTAAATATATCATGCAAAAGCATTGTTTTTGATGTTTTGAATACAGTTTATTTTCATGAAATGAACTTTCAAGAACATGTTTTGTTTAATCTAATAACGTGAAGTCACCAAGAAGGGCAACAAACAATAAAAAAAAGAAGCATAACTGTTTTAGCATTTTTTTCATTTCGTATGAAGAGCAAACATTTTGCAAACATACTAAAAATCACAACAAATGAAATAAAAAGTAGTTTGAATTAAAAATTGTTTTTGTTTCTTTAAAAGAATTTTATTTTTAAAGATCATCACTTCAAGCATTTTTCCCGAATAAAATCTCAAAAAATAGAAACTCCAATTGCAAAATCCGATACTTTTCCGTTGGCTGGTTAGGAGGAAGCGAGAATTTTTTTTTTTGTTAAGAAAAAATTAGGAAAAAGGGAAAAAATAAATGAAAAAGAAAATTTAATTAATTTCTTTACAAACTTCTTAACTTCTTGCAACACTTTATTTATTTTTTGGAGAGTGAGGCAGCCATTTTGCTTTGTGTAAAAAAATCAAAACAAAAAAATAAAATTACTCTCTCTCAGTTAACAGAACAGAACCCAAAATTGAATGTATATAATAGTTTTATGCTAAGAGCATGGAAAAATGAAATTGATTCAGGTTACAAATTTACCTCTTTGTCATTTTTGAACCATTTTAGTGTGGCCTTAGGGTTTCCGCCTTCTGAAGTACAGCTGAATTTCTGTAATTCACCTGCTTTTATTGATTTTGCTTCCTCATAACCACTGATTGTTGGAGATGATGGGGGATCTATGAAAAGATTTATTACATAAAAAAAGTCTTCGTAGTTAAATCAAAATAAATACCATTCAGAAGAAAAAAACTCAAGATATTTTAATAAATACAAGAGTACACCATCGCCAACTCGCTTCTGCTCACAAACTCTCAATCACTATCTTATATGGTTAGCCTTTTATATTATATTTTTTGAAAAAAAATATGCATGCAAATTACATGGGATGTAGTAAAGGCCATACTAAAGGGGGAAGGGGATCGAAAAGACATGAGCCACGAGATTTTTGAGGTTCTGACGAAAATTCTTTACAAAAATATAGTGTCTATTATTGTTTTTTTTATTCAAAAGAAAATTGCTTAGTTTTTTTTATACTGCTACAAAATCTATAATCTGTAGGGTCTTCAAAAATTCTAAAAAATATTAAAACAGCATTTTTTTTTGTGCTTTCATGATAGGGCCAACAATAAATTTTGTCCTTGGGCACCTGAACCCTATATTCCGTTTTGGATTCGCTATACTGCAGCTTTCATGGGCCGAGCATCAAGGGAAAGATTCGAAACTTGTAGAACCCGGTTTTTCTTCCAGAGCAGAGGTTACTGAAACGTAGCAGAATAGTGCTACTTATCGGACTAAATCCTTATTGTTTGTTAGGGTATCAATCTTTTAGTAAACATATAACAAGCTGGAAAAAAATTAGTTTTATAACTGTAATGACTAATAAATAAGAATAGCTTAGAAGCAAGTGAACATTACAGAGTTGACTCACATAGTTAAACAAACTTAACTGCTCTGACGCCGTGAATTATTTAATAACTACACGCCAATATGGCAAGCCCTTCTTCTCGACGCACTCAGTTATTCTGAGTTAGTCCGCTAGAAAACAGAACTGATTTCGTCGCAATATATACTCCTCAATAGGTTTTATTTGTTTAATTCTTAGAGAATAATAATATTTTTTTCCATATAATCATGATGATTTTCTCCTTTTCAACTGCTTTTTCACTGGTTTAAGATGTAGGATTGCAAAACTCAGCAAATAGAGATTGAAAATTGCATTTACTTACGAACGACTGCAACATTTGATGTTTGCACAATTGTTTCACCTAAAGCTTCACTGACAGCGTAACAAGAGAACGTCTTAGTATCCGGGTCCTGAAAACAAATGTATTTGTAAGAAAAAGTCATTAAAATATGACCAGGAAAAAAGATAAAATTGCGCCAGGTGATTTAATAAATAGTTTCACTAGGGTAAAAAAGAAACTTTTGAAATGCATCAATAAATACATAATGATGAAACTATGCTTACAAATCAATGGTTAAACTTTATTTAGTAATAATGATTAAATTTTACATATTGTTTACCGTATGATTAAAATAGTGCAGTACCAATTTAGACACTTCCACCTGTGATGGCATTATATAATTGAATCTTTTCAAACGATAAGGAGGAAAATGTTATTCATTTTATTAGCTTGAGAGTTTCACTCTCAACTGACTGCTTCTCGCTACTTCCCCCCTCCAATCATTATTACTCTATCTTGGTGCAGTACCAATTTAGATACTTCCCATTTGAGGCGGTGTCGTAGAATATACCTGTTTTAAACGGCGAGAGAGAAAATGTTATCTATTTTAATAGCTATAAGGCTGCACTCCTAAGTTGCTGATGCTAGCCAACCACAATCTTTTTCACGCAATCAAATATCGTTCGTTTCTCAAACTAAGAGTGCTTTCTCACTAACAGATTAGTTCTACTTAAAATATGTCTCAGCGTTTGCCATCATAATTAATTGCAGAAACTGCATTAAGACAGAAATATTTGCAGAAAGCACATTTTTTACTGCAGTTGATAATTCATTATCCATCTTTAGAGTTAATCTAAAAATTACTCATTTCAAATGCTAAGAGGGAAAAGGCTATTGTTTTTATCCCACTTTGAGCGATAGCTTTTGAGTTCACCTTTTTTGATGTATAAAATAATATTTCTAAGTTTATAATCAAAATGAATAGATAATTAACAGTGTCATTCAATGAATCAATTTTTTTATGAAACACAAGTTTAATTTTAAAAGGCTTGTTTATTTATTATTATTATACAAAATCGATAGTTTTTCTCACATTTGATTCACAGTAACTCGAATTTCATAAGACGAAAGAAATATTTTGACTTATGGAAACTTCGACTCACTAGTTTACACACAGTTTTTGCTTTTTAGTGTACAATAAATTTGGATACTGTTGTAATTATATATACATATTATTGATAAGTTTATGAAAAATAAACTATTTCGATTTATCAGGTCTTGTTCAAATTATGATAAACATAATGGGAGGGGATTTCGAAATAGATTTTCTCACAATATGATTAGAAAATCTTTTTTGAAATCTCTCTGTTCTGTCCGATCTCATTAAGTTTCGATCATAATCCGTTTCTATCACAATATGTTTCGAAATCTTATTGCTCCTTCGAAAGGAAGAGCAAGAAGATTTCACTTCGTTGGTGATAAGATAGGCATTCTTTTAGCTTTCAGGAACAATCCATTTTGCTTGATAAAAAAAAGAGTTATCAGAAATAAATTTCAATTAATTAATATAAATTAATGTGAAAATACAAATAGAGGGGTGGGACCAGTTAGAAACAATTGACTTAATAGAATATTTGAATTACAGTTCTTTGAATTATGATGCATCGACTCCATTACCATATCCAATTATGGTACTTTTTAAAAAGACATTAATGTAGGGGATATTAGTCAAAACCGATATTCCATTGGATTCGATGATCACGACATTTATGTGAGCCGTGATCGTGCAGTTTTTTCTGCCGAGCATGATCTTCAAACTGACTACCATGAATGTAAGTTTGATTTACCACAAGATAAAACAACTATAAAAACTAAATTACTGAGCGACCACTTTTATTTTGTTGAATTGTAAAAACTATCTAATACTTTTGAAACTATAAATAGTATCTAAAATATATTACAGGAGATTTACCTGCCTGGACACAGAAACAGTGACGTTGGAACTGGTTACCCAACCACCAGACGTATCTTCTGTGACTGCTTGAGTGGACATCATGGGTCGACCGTCCACTACCCAGGACACTTCGACGGGTGGATTACTAGAACCTGTTGTGCAGGACAAGGTTATAGATTCGCCAATTTTCACTTCTTTTGGCCCTTTAATTGTTACTTNAAAAGAAAGTGTTTATTAATGTTTTTTTGTTCATTCAAAAGAAAATTGCTTAGTTTTCTTTTATATTGCTACAAAATGTATAATTTGTAGGGTCTTCAAAAATTCTAAAAAATATTAAGCAGTTTTTTTTGTGCTTTCATGATAGGGCCAACAATAAATTTTGTCCTTGGGCACCTAAAACCCTATATTCCGTTTTGGATTCGCTATACTGCAGCTTTCATGGGCCGAACATCAAGGGAAGGAATCGAACCTTGTAGTGCCCGGTTTTTCTCCCAGAGCAGAGGCCACTGAAACGAAGCAGAACAGTGCTACTTATCGGACTAAATCCTTATTGTTTGTTAGGGTATGAATCTTTTAGTAAACATATAATAAGCTGGAAAAAAATAATTGTATAACTGTAATGACTAATAAATAAGGATAGATTAGAAACAAGTGAACATTACAGAGTTGACGCAATTAGTTAAACAAACTTAACTGCTCTCACGCCGTGAATTATTCAACAACTACACGCCAATATGGCAAGTCCTTCTTCTTGACGCACTCTGTTACTCTGAGTTAGTCCGCTGGAAAACAGAACTGATTTCGTCACAATATATACTCCTTAATAGGTTTTATTTGTGCAATTCTTAGAGAATAATAATTTTTTCTCTCCATATAATCATGATGATTTTCTCCTTTTAAACTGATTTTTCACTGGCTAAAGAAGTAGGATTGCAAAAACTCATCAAATAGAGATTGAAAATTGCATTTACTTACGAACGACTGCAACATTTGATGTTTGCACAATTGTTTCACCTAAAGCTTCACTGACAGCGTAACAAGAGAACGTCTTAGTATCCGGGTCCTGAAAACAAATGTATTTGTAAGAAAAAGTCATTAAAATATGACCAGGAAAAAAGATAAAATTGCGCCAGGTGATTTAATAAATAGTTTCACTAGGGTAAAAAAGAAACTTTTGAAATGCATCAATAAATACATAATGATGAAACTATGCTTACAAATCAATGGTTAAACTTTATTTAGTAATAATGATTAAATTTTACATATTGTTTACCGTATGATTAAAATAGTGCAGTACCAATTTAGACACTTCCACCTGTGATGGCATTATATAATTGAATCTTTTCAAACGATAAGGAGGAAAATGTTATTCATTTTATTAGCTTGAGAGTTTCACTCTCAACTGACTGCTTCTCGCTACTTCCCCCCTCCAATCATTATTACTCTATCTTGGTGCAGTACCAATTTAGATACTTCCCATTTGAGGCGGTGTCGTAGAATATACCTGTTTTAAACGGCGAGAGAGAAAATGTTATCTATTTTAATAGCTATAAGGCTGCACTCCTAAGTTGCTGATGCTAGCCAACCACAATCTTTTTCACGCAATCAAATATCGTTCGTTTCTCAAACTAAGAGTGCTTTCTCACTAACAGATTAGTTCTACTTAAAATATGTCTCAGCGTTTGCCATCATAATTAATTGCAGAAACTGCATTAAGACAGAAATATTTGCAGAAAGCACATTTTTTACTGCAGTTGATAATTCATTATCCATCTTTAGTGTTAATCTAAAAATTACTCATTTCAAATGCTAAGAGGGAAAAGGCTATTGTTTTTATTCCACTTTGAGCGATAGCTTTTGAGCTCACCTTTTTTGATGTATAAAATAATATTTCTAAGTTTATAACCAAAATGAATAGATAATTAACAGTGTCATTCAATGAATCCATTTTTTTATGAAACACAAGTTTAATTTTAAAAGGCTTGTTTATTTATTATTATTATACAAAATCGATGGTTTTTCTTACATTTGATTCACAGTAACTCGAATTTCATAAGACGAAAGAAATATTTTGACTTATCGAAACTTCGACTCACTAGTTTACACACAGTTTTTGCTTTTTAGTATACAATAAATTTGGATATTGTTATAATTATGTATACATATTATTGATAAGTTTATGAAAAATAAACTATTTCGATTTATCAGGTCTTGTTCAAGTTATGATAAACATATTGGGAGGGGATTTCGAAGGATATTTCTTCACAAATATTTATAGAAAAATATTTTTTGAAATCTCTCTGTTCTGTCCGATCTCATTAAGTTTCGATCATAATCTGTTTCTATCACAATATGTTTCGAAATCTTGTTGCTCCTTCGAAAGGAAGAGCAAGAAGATTTCACTTCGTTGGTGATAGGATAAACGATTGGCATTCTTTTAGCTTTCTAGAACAATCCATTTCTTGATAAAAAAAAAAAGAGTTATCAGAAATAAACTTCAATTAATTAATATAAATTAACGTGAAAATATAAATAAAGGGGTGTAACCGGATGGAAAAACCTAGCTTAATAGAATATTTGAATTACCGTACTTCGAATTATCATGCATTGATTCAATATGAATACCATACCCAATTAGGGTATGATTTAAAAAGACATTAATGTAGGGGATATTAGTTATAACCGATATTCCATTGGATTCAATCACGGCAGTTATGTCTGCCGTGCGTGATCTTTAACTGACTACCATGAATGTAAGTTTGATTTACCACAAGATAAAACAACAATAAAAACTAAATTACTGAGCGACCACTTTTATTTTGGTGAATTGTAAAAACTATCTAATACTATTGAAACTATAAATAGCATCTAAAATATATTACAGGAGATTTACCTGCCTGGACACAGAAACAGTGACGTTGGAACTGGTTACCCAACCACCAGACGTATCTTCTGTGACTGCTTGAGTGGACATCATGGGTCGACCGTCCACTACCCAGGACACTTCGACGGGTGGATTACTAGAGCCTGTTGTGCAAGACAAAGTGATAGATTCGCCAATTTTTACTTCTTTTGGTCCTTTAATTGTTACTTTGGAAGGTGCAACTGCAAGAAAAGGTTGCAAAAAACACGAAATTTGTAAAAATAAAAGTTTTAAAAAATATAGATTATTATACGCAGCTGTCATGAAGTAAGCGTAGCTAACGGTAGTCAGTTCAAGTTTACTAATTACGTTCGCATTTTTTTATATTCTTTTAGCTTCTTTCAGGGCTTTCACAAAATGTAAGCATTTTTTCTAACTTATATGCATGAATCTGTGCACAAATTCGTATTCAAGGTATTCTTGGTATCTTATTTTTAAGTCTAAATTGATGCGAAAATCCGTATTGAATTCAAGGCTATATTATTCTTATATCTGAATAGATGAAAAATCCACATTAAATTCAAGGTGTTTTTTGCGATATTATTATTATGCCTAAAACGATGTAAAAAAACGTATTTAATTTAAAGCATTTTATTGCAATGATATTCTAATGCCTGAATCGATGCAACAATTCGCATTCAATCACATTGCAATTTCAGATTTCAAAAAAAATTTTTTTTAACGATTATGGCCAAAAGAAAGGACAAAAATCTAACTCTCAAACTCACAACAAAAGAATAAAATCAAACATAAATATTAACTGAAGTTATATATTACACAAAGAGATTCATTATTGGCGATTTATTAAAAAAAAAAGCTTTGCCAAAAGTCAAACCAATTAGGACAACTCAACTATACCACCTATAATTTAAATTTAAAAAGAAATTATTATAAAGTATGTGATGGATTATGCTAATATATTGACAATTAAAAAAATTATCTGAAAATCTAATTTGATATCCGACAGTTGTATGTGGCTTTGAATAAAAAGTTAGCTTTCATAGTTATCGAGAAAAGATTTAAACAAAATAATAATTTTTATAAAGTGATATTAAATTTCTAGCTAAATATTAAAAGCAAAGACCTAACAATCTAAGATGACAGTCAGTGGTAAATTTGAAAGGTAGTACGGAATAAAGACTGAACAATAAAATTTTAGCACACATATCATAAATAAAATAAGCAAAAAAAATGTTTGAATGAGCAATATGAAAACATCTTGTCAACAAAAAGTTTTTTTAAAAAATAACGTAATATTTTCCAGCAGGCCCCACTTTCTCATTTGATTTTTAATTTCAACAGCAGTTATTGATACAGTTAAAGAATATGTAAATTTTCATGTTTCGACAAATGGGATATGATAGATAAAAAGCTTTTTTTTATGCCAATTACTTATGTATTGACATAACTTATTTATATGAGCTACAAATACATGCAAGTTTTAGAAGAAAATTCAATTGCAGTCCAAATGGCCCAGGCTCTCTACGATTTGACAATTTAAAGCAAAACTTATGTCAGTTACTTAGATTTTTTTTTATCTCTTATTTATAAGAGCTACATATGGATACAAGCGTAAGGTGAAAATTACATTGATGTCAAATTGCCCACAAATGCCTACGATTTAACAAATAGATATGGTAGACAAAATGTCTATTTCATGTCAATTACTCAAGATTGTTAAATGCTATCTATAAGAGCTATAAATACATGAAAGTTTTCAGGTGAAAATTTTCATTCATTTTTTATGCCTCTATTGTCCACTATTCGACAAATGGATAGGATAAAGCCGCGCTGGCTCATGGGAAAGAGCGTCCGCTTTCCAATGAGATGACCTAGGCTCGAATCTCAGTGGTGGCTGGTTGATATAAATACTCATCCCGGCTCGTACCGACCAAAGTGCTGAAAGTGAATGAATGGTAAATGGAATAGTTCCCTCGCCCTCGAGCAAATCGTGGTAAATCTTCGTGGTTTTCTTCTCTATGTCACTCAAATGTGGGGTAGTTCCATCAAAGAAGTCGTCTACGAAGGCTAGTTCGTCCCCTTCCTTGATTCAGGAGGCAACCCAGTAGACAATTATATTCTGGATTGGGTCAAAGTTAAAAGGTCACAGAGTAGAACATTAATTGTAAACTCAGAATTAGTTTGGCTGTTCAACGCCAGCTATAAAATAAAGAAAAATGGAATGCTTGTTTTGCGTCAATTGCTTATGTATTCTTATATCTTATCTACAAGAGAGTCACAAAGGATTCCACGTTTCAGTTCAAAAATACATTGCGGTCAAAATCGTCATTAGTGTCATTTTAGTCTAAGGCAACTCTTCAGAATGTGCTAGAATTCGAATTTTCTTCCTTAATTTAATAGTCTTATTTCTTAAATTTTGCTTAAAATAAGAAAGAAACATTATTTGTGTTGAATACTTACATAAAACATTAAGACGCACAGACGCAACAAGGGGTTGTAAAGTGACTACACTGGAAGCTTCACATTTGTAGACAGCCTTGTTATCTTTGGGTCCAACTGTGAATGTGTGGGTGTTTGTGGCTTCTCTTCCACCTGTTGAATAAGTTATATCAACCTGGTCGTCATTCCGGAACCAGATCAACTTAGCAGGTGGATTACCTCCCCTAGAAATGCATGCCAAGTTCAGTTTATCGCCAACTTGCACGATGTCTCCGTCGTGGTAACCTTCAATCTGAGGAGCACCTGGTGGAACTGAAATTGAAAAAATGGGAATAATTTCAGATTTTTTTTCTGAAGGTTCCCATTTTGTTGCATTATCTACTTATATATCTTTAGGCTCGGTCTAGAACCGAGCGATACATCGATATATCACGATATATCGATGCAACGTATAGATCATAAAGCCGATATAGTGACTTCCGTTTTTCGCGATGCATTGGAACTGTGATTTAAGTCACCGATATAAAAAGACGTTTGCGATGCAACGATAGAACGATTTAGCACGCAAAGATTCCTTGTTTACGTTAACGCTAGTACCGCACAATGTTGAGTGGCTTGGAGCGAATTGAATCAGAAGTCACGGTTTTGTGTGTGGATTGACAACAAAATACTGAACTGAAGCATTCTGGCTTATTTTGCCATTTTTTTTTTTCAATAAGGATTTATCACCATTTCTAGCGGATAATTTTAATTTTGACTCCCGTGGTACAATTCAATAGCGGGATTTCAAATTTAAATAATTTACACTTTGTTATAATGATTTTTTTTTTATATTTTTCAGTGCAATCCATATACTTATGTATATGGATTTGATATACTTTTATTTTGAAATCATTAAATCTTTAATCGCTTTTATTTAAAAAAAATAAAACATGGCTGATATTTATTTATGCGATATTCTGTCATTAGTCTATCCATGTTTATAAAGCGAATATTTTTCAAATCATTTATTTCTTTTTTATTTAGGTGTGCAATTTTTTTTGCTAGTTTTTCTTAACTTTTTCCTCAATTTTTAAATATTTCTCAATCCACATAAGTAAAATTTTTTTAAATGTTAACATTATTTAATCCTCTAAATATTTCTTTTCCTTTATGTTTCAAAATTTCCTAAATTTTATTCTTATTATTCAGCTATTAGTTAAAAACGCTTTATTATTTTAACTACATAAAAGGTTTAGTGATTTTTTGACATTTTGAAAGTGACGTTTTTCTTAATATTTAACAATAGTTTTATTATTTTTCTTTCAATGCTTTTGTAAGTTAAATTTTTTCATACAAATTTAGCAATAATTTCGTTCACAGAAATTTAATAATATTTTTTTAATGAATAAATCTTACGCTGATTTTATTTTTAAAAAATCAAAGCAAATCTTACATTTATTTATTAGTTTATTACGTATAGAATTCGATTGTTAGTCAATCCATTTTTATTAATTTAACTAAGTAAAGAAAAGGGTAGTGATGTTTCCAGAGCACGCTTTTTAATCCAAATAATTTAAAACATTGTTCTAAAATATATAATTACTTCTGTTCGTTTGTGCTCTAATGGAAAAATCTAACAATTTTCTGAAAATAAAAGTACCATATAAACATCTTGTCAAGGTAAAAAAAAAATAAAAAATAGAAATAAATTAAAAAACAAAAACAGACACAGAACTATGTATTTTAAAAAGTCATTAACTAGGAATTGAATATTTCATCAACTTCGTTTTTTAAAAGTAGAATTCCTAAAAGGTTCCATTTTCAATAAGCAAATTATTATTATTAAGTGTCCTATTTTACAGTAAAATAAATTTGGGAGGGTTGTTTTCAAGAGAGTTTTGTTTGCAAGAAAAATTTGTGAGAAGTTCCTATTTTAACTTAAAAAAATATGTGTAGAGTCCGTTTTTAGACCCAAATATCTCTTAAAATGCGTTAATAATAGTAGTCACAAACATGCAGTAATAATAGTGAGAACTTCAAAAACTCAAAATTCCTGAAAATGCATTAACTAACTTACTATTTACTGTCAATTAACAATGGCCTTATGCTAAATGAACAGTTAATCTAAATAACTGCAAACCAAAATACCAAAAATGTGAAGAAAAAAAAAGCATTTACTAATAGATTAATGACCCTCACAGAATGATTGATAACCCACACTACTCTAAAAGTAAGTCAACAAAAATGAAAAAATCAAAAAGGTAGAAAAAAACATTAACTTCCTCGTGTTTGTTGATAGTTAAGCTGCTACTGATACGAAACCTGATAAAAACTTTTCTATTTCATTTCCCATCAACTACCCAGTTATATAAAATCTAATCGAACATTCCTGAAGTTCGTCAGCGCTTAATGTATTTTGAATGATTAATGATCGCACGGTGTACTAAGGGTGGCCTGTGTTTCCCCGTCCATTATTTCGCATCAGGCTTCTTTTCTTCATCAGATATTTATTGCGCTGGAATGCCTTGTAAAATCAAACTTGGTGAAGTTGAGTTGTTTGAGATCTGACTTGGAGTTTTTTCTTGAATTTTTCCTCTGCGGGAGTCGTCTGGTCGTGATCGTAATCATGACTTTCTCTAAGTACTCGCAATCATTGGCCCTGGTGATGATTCAATCGATATCGGGGAATGGAATGGGGGATAGATCCATTACAGAATGTTCTATCTTACATTGATTTCTTCTACATGTTTATTTCCTTAGAAATTGAGACTGTAATCTATATGGATCGGATTTTTTTTCCTAGATCATTTCTCAGAAATGACCAGGCTTTAAATAAGTACTAGGGTAAACCAAAAGAGTGTTCATCGATCACAAATATACTTGTACTTGTATAGGAGTACAGATAGCATGGGGATTTTTGTAAATAATGTATTGCTTGTGGACAATGTTATTGACGCGGTTTTCGCAAATGTATCGCAATTTTGATAAATTGATTCAAATTGAAACAACATATCAATATTAAATGGTTCAGACAAAATTGTATTGTGACCTAGATTTTTAAAAAAAATATCTGTTACGTATATGCTAATAAAGAATGGAAAACAAATTTATCTTAAATTATTAACGTGGTCAGAGATGCGAGCTCATTTCAGATTGTGTTAAAGATAAATATCTAATGTAGTTAAAAATGCAAATTGTTTTCCAGGAAATGCGGTTGTTAAGGGTATTTATCTCTTTCCTCCCTATGAAATGGTCTAAGCTCGTTCAGAGCAATGTCTGTTTGCTAAAGACTCTGCACCAGATGTACACAGACTACAGTTATGAAATGTTATGCTTTACTGAAAGACGAACAATTAATTAGACTCCTTTCATTGCCGGGCTAACCGTTTGAGATTTTTGAGGTTTTCCTCTACATGTAACGCAATAGTGAGTTAATTCCATCGAAAAGTCTTCCGTGAAGGCTGGTATGTCTGAAATGCTTGTTCAAAGGGCAATATTTAAACGGTCCACATACACTCGAATACTATAAATATAAAATCTGCATATAATAGACTGAAAATCACTATCAATCAACTTTACGTGTTGTTTTTATGATGGAATGTCATATATTTAAATATCTCATGATAATCCATTACAAATTTATTTATATAATCTATTTAGGAAAATTTCGTATTGCAATATTTTAAACAAAAATATCTAAATACTCACACAAAACACTTAGAAAGACATTCGTGCGGATAGGTTTGGAAACGGCTTTATGTTCCCCAACACAACTATACATGGCTCCGTTGTCGTCAAGTTTAGGAGATAACGTGATTGAAGTTGTAGTGCTCTTTAAAACTGAATTTGATTCCTCTTCACGCATTGGTGTCACATCTATCAAAAAAAAAGAAGGAAAAAAATGCTTGTGAGCCAGTAAAAAAATGCATGTTTCAAATATATGGTTTCAATATGCAGTAAGTTTTTTTTTCAATGCTGATTTCTTACAGGACAAATGATAAATTGGAAGCATTGTTTTCATCCACGATTTTTTAATAGAACTAATAAGCAGTTAAAAAATGGAGGATAATTAACTAGTGTTTATAAACGCATCGTGTTTGAAAAAATTTTGATGGAGGAATGTTTTAAATGGCATTTTAGTCAATTTAGATATAATTTTATTAAGCATTCCACCATTAGAAACCTGTAAAAGCGATAACAACTTGACATCTTCTTTTAAGAGCTCTTAATTATCGCTGATGCAAGAACTTACTTATTACCAAGTAGAAGAGTAATTAAACAGTTACTGGTATATATATTTTTACTTTAAATATTTTACAACGAGATAATTGTATGTATTGTGAATATTTAAGCAAATGCTTGAGAATTTTCAGTCTCAAATAATAATTATTTCGATTTAAAATCGTTACCTTGAGCTAAGGATACAAAATAGATCTGCCTTTTAATTAATGAATTTTCATTCGGTCATTTTAAATTTAAATTTTAATCGAAATATTCACACGGAATGAAAAAATAAATCTTTTCAAACTATATACAACAGGTAAAAACGAACATACTGTGGTCATGTTATTCACGTATATTATAATCTTACCAAAGGAAGTATTTTTTGAAAATCATTTGGCTAAGAATAGTAGTTAGTTTTTTTTTATTTTATGAACTAAAAACTAAAATTTATGAACTAAAATACATTAAATAATTTTATGAACTAAAACTAAGACTAAAATCATAAGTTTGCATATGGGGCTTTTCAGCTATACTTTTGCTTAAATCATTATTTCATTTCTGGCTTTACTTTCATTAAATGGTGCATTTAAAAATTTATTAAGCATATTTTTTCGATAAAAGTTTTGATCATATTCCCAGTTTGACTTGACAAAAAATCTAAAAATTACTTTTTCAACAATAATTTTGCAAATATTCTTATTATTATAGTTAAATACAGAATTTTATTATAACTTTAAACATTATTCAAGTGATCAAGAGATTCACACATAGTTTTATTCAACAGTGTTCATATTTATCCAACTATAGTTTTACCCACAGTTTCCTTTAACCATAGTTTTACACTTAGTTTTATTCTACCATTATCTTATACATATTTTTATTGAACTATGGTTTTACTTATGATTTTATTCTACATATTTTTATTCAAACAACATTTTACACATAGTTTCGCTCTACCATATTTATATTAATATTTTTGATCAATCATGGTTTTAAACTATGCTTTCATTCTGCTGTAATTGCATGCATATTATAATTTAATGCTATGTTTTTATACATAGTTTTATTCAATCATGGTTTAATTCTGTCATAACCTTTAAACATTCTTGTTCACTCACAAAATCAATACAATTTCCTAGGTCTATAATGATAACTAAGAAGAAAATAAACAAACTGAAACTTTACTTGCACATTCTGTACTTGTATATTCTTGTATAGTCTAACTTGTATATTCTAAAGAATACTTTCAAACAAAACTGAAAATTTAACAGCTTTATTTAATAATAATTTTAAACACCATAGTTTTCTGTTTGAATTAAATAAACAAAAAATATAGATTACTAATTAAAATTTAATTACGTATTTCCAAATAATTCCCATTCGGAAAACTTGTTTTTCTCTACGTTTTTCAATGGTGAGACTGTGCTTGCAAAATAAGTTTTCGTATGAATTCACCTTTAGCTGCGGTAGTCAGAACTTTAAATATAATATTAATGTAGTTTTAAGAGACACCACACATATAAACTTATTACCATACCTGTATGTATATATATATATTTATAAATATATTATATATATATATATTATTTACTGCGCATAAGCGCTGCAAGTAAATAGAACTATAGAACTCATAAAATAAGTTCAAAATGTAAAGAAAACAAGGGAAAAAATTACAGAACGATGAAAAAAGCGGAATAAAAGAAAAATAATTATAAAATAAAAATAACTAAAAACCGGAAAAAAAGAGAAAATTTTTTTCAAAATTTTCAAAAAATAAAAGGTATAATATTTTCATCAGCTCACACGATTATATCCACAAATAATCGTGTGATCGATCCGGATATAATCGTGTGAGCTGATGAAAAGATTATATCTTTTATTTTCCGAATTTTTAAATTTTTTTTGTCTTTTTTCGTTTTTTTGTTATTTTTATTTTTATTATTATTTTTCTTTTTTCCCCTTTTTTCATTGTTCTGTAATTTTGGCCTTCTTTTCTCTACATTTTGAACTTATTTTATGAGTTCTTTTTACTTGCAGCGCTTATGCGCAATAAATAAAACTTATTGTTTTTCTTAATTTTCTTCGTGTTCTTTTGTTTTTATTTATTATGATATATATATATATATATATATATATCAAAATGCTTNATGGACAAAGCATTTCAGCAACCAACAACTCTACAAACATTAATTCATGTACTCGAACGATGGTTATTTCACAGGTACTTCTAAAATCTGTACCAGTACGATTTCAACGCATGAGAGCTTTTCTCTACACTCCCAATTTATGCTCAGAACATCTGAAATTGGGGAAAGGCCAAATTCTCTAATGGTTCTTGTTCTAGAACGTCTCTTAATAAGTAAGTCACTCATGTAAGGTTGAAGGATTTCTGAGATTTCTCGCTCATCTCACATCAGTGAATTGACAGACATTTTAAGACTCAAGGGCTCTATATGGATGGAGCACTTGAAAATGATGGATCACCTGTTAGGGAAGCTCTTAATTTAGATCAGTTTTGAACTCAAAGATTACTCACTTTCATGAACAAATATTAGTTGGCTTTCATAGGTGAAATACAATATTTATTTACAAAGTTGACTAAAGTTTAGTTTGAAAAGACAATTCTAGACAATATTTTACAGTACAGAAAAAAGTATTCGCGTTTACGAACTGAAAACTTCTTATAGCCTATTTTTTTTTATTTTTCAAGAAAATAAGGAAATAAAATTCTTACAAAATTATATTTCGAAGTAGGAAAATTTCTAAATAGTCTATTTCTGCAAAAAAAAAGTGTTTTTAAATTTGACGGGCATATTCTTAAAAGTTGTAAATTTTATTTTAATAATTAATGGTAGTTTAATACGAAAACTGCTATATGATGTTGTTACAAATATTCCATTTTACAAATAATATTCAGCAAGCCTACCTGGTTCAAATTAAAACCGGGTCCAAATTACATAGTTTTCATCTACCATTCTACAGTTTTTAATTACCAAGTTGACAGGCTATTTTCGACTGGATGGCTTAGAACACTCGATGAAGCACTCATAAACGGTGCATAACTTATAATACGCTAAAGAAATACTTAAATACTCTAAAAAATGCTAAGCTAATAGCTAATGTTTGAGTTTCGCTCAAGATCTATAGATATTTTTTCTCTTGTGTGGCTCCATAAATTCGATCATAACTCTAGCGTTTGCAAAAATAAAAATTAATAATTTATGTCTTAAGTATTAATTTAAGTAGTATTAAAAATTAGTTATACGTTAATAAATTTTTTAGATTCATTTTGTTTGATTGTCTTTAGCAGTAATTTAAATAGAGTTAAATAGTTAGTTATATGTTAGTTTTTTTTTTAGAATAATTTTGCGATTGATTTTAAAGAAATAAAAACTTCACAAAGTAGTTATTTAGATTTTTGTTTCTTTTCTGAAATAGTTAAAGAAATTTCAAACATAAACGGTGTTATTGTGTCGCATACTGTCATATAAATTAGTTTTGAAGGAGCTTTTACTTTTTTAATATGAGCCGATATGACTCAGGGCATAGAACGATCGCCTACCAATGAGGTGAATTGGGTTCGAATACCAGCGATGGCTGGTCGATACGAATTCCGCATCCGGCTTGCACCGACAGCAATGATGACGTGAAATATCCCCAGGGGAAGACGGATCCTGGATTAGAGTACCTTCGTCGTTAGGCCGACCTTATGATGCTCTCGTGGTCTTCCTCACCATGTAACGCAAATGCGGGTTAGTTCCATCAAAAAATCCTAAACGGAGGCAAATTTCTTCCAATACTTGATCCGGGAGCTCTCTTGTCTTTTGAATTGGGTTCAAATTACAAAGCTATGTAGTTGAACATTTAGCAGTCGTAAACCCAAAAATTTGGTCGGCTGTTCAACAACGGTCGTAAGAAAAATGACATAGATATACGATACTCAAGTTATGACTCGAGAGGCGCGTGAGGAAGTAGTACAGCGCGTAATGGAGCTCTGGGATGAGTCTTCTGCCTTATCATGACGAAGTTGTTAGTAGCTACTTATTGAGCCAAAATGCTCCGAACTCTTATTTACTCATACTTTGTGTGATTTAATAGCTGTCGGACATATTTTAAATCATTTTTTTTTTAAAATTCGCTACATAAACATCTTTTACAACATCTCATACATTTCTTGAAGGTAGTTAAAATTGATATCTAAGTACTTCTGCGCTGGCAGCCGTTAAGGGAGGGAAAAAAACCTTTGTTAAAATTTAGTGTCCAAAACAAATTAAGGTGTTAGAATTGGAAGAGAGTTTAAGCAATTAGAATATTTAAATACAGTTTTGCTGTGCATTTGGTTCGGTTAACATCAAAGCTTATTTGTTTAGCAAGATTATTTTAACAGCAGCCAAGTAGGTCGCCAAAGGGGCAGTTTTTCTCATAATTGAGAGTGCAAACATTTTTCAGCTTGTTTAGAAAGTTCTCCAGATATAGTACAATACGTAAAAAGTAAAATTGACATTAAAGGGTCTAAACTTTCGACCGTTCTCGGAACGAAACTATTAGCACCATATTTTCAAGATGGCGATTATCCCTAAAATATGGGAACACTTCGGTAATTATATCGAATATTGTACTTTCATGATTTAGGAGAGTCATAAAAAAATCGCTTTACCATTATTGCCAAATTTATTTTGATAATACGTACTTCAGGTATTGTACTAATTGGTACTGCTTTAATAGGTGCCATGTATATTAAAATAGGTACAAGGATACCTAATTCAGGTACTGTTGTGGTAGATATTTTAAAGATCCTTGGTCAGCGCTACATCATTCCAAATAGTATTGAAGTTAGCTAATCTTTATTTTGGTGAAATGAACTTCTGAAAATGTGCTCTGCTTTATTCTAATGACATAAAGGCACCAAATAGGCAAGCAAATAGTAAGAAGTAAGTAAAAAAAAAGTTTTTATTTTTGTCTCAGTTTCTGTTTTGAGCATGGTTTTGTAGTTTTGATTAACACTGGTTTATTATTTATTTTCTTCTCCCAGTAAGAAGATCGTGAATTCAGGTAGTAAAAAATAAATGTAGATTTCAGATTTGTTTGTAATATTGACAAAAGGAAAAAAATGCATAATGAATATTCAAATTTAAAATTAAATAATGCAGTTTGTCTTTAAAAAAAACATAGAATCTTATGACCATTTTCAAACTTTTGGAAAACCCACAGTTATATTTATTCTTCCGGAAAAATTCATTTCCTTAGTGTATAAACCTCAATATCTTTCATAATAGAAAGCATTTAAAACCCTCCTACTACAGAACTTTGTGGTCTAATAAACAAACCACAAAAGCTAAATAAGATTTGTTTGAGGTAGATTTCAATAAATGGTAAGAGAGACATAAAAACAAAACTTTAGTTGTTAGTTTAAATTATTTATCTTTACGAGAATTTAGAGAACGGTTTAAAAAAAAGTATTTTGTTATTTCCTCTGCTGTTAAGAAATCGTTGATGTTAAATAAATAATCAACTAAACTCACTGTTATTTTAAGATTCGATTTATTTTTACTTGGATTTACCTTTGGTAATTTCTACGCCATTTCGCATCCATTTTAGTTTGGTTTGTGGTTTGCTATTTTTTGCGAAGCACTGTAAAGATAGTTTTTGATTTTCTCTCATTTCGACCGTGCTGCCATTCTTGTAGCCCCGTATCTCCAGAACTCTTGGTGGAACTGAAATAAAAACAACAAATCAATCTTTTAAATAAAGATAAAACACTATTGTTTCTTGATACTGACTTTTTTACAAAATAAATAATTTATGTTGAGAGAAAGGAGATAATTAAATTAAATAAAACAAAAGGTTCGGCCGTTAATAAACATTAAAATTCAATTTTCCATTGTTACTATTGCTTTTAAGATGCATTTTAAAAATCCTTTTCGACAATTAAATTCTTAAAGTTAATAAAGGAAAATATATTTCAAAAAGGGGAACTACTATTACTTTCTTACTTAAAAGGATGCCATAGCACAAGGGAGAAATCGTTCATGGCAAATTATTTTTCACCTATATAAGGAATTTAACATTTACAGAATTAGAAAAGTGAGTACAGATAAATATTACATTAAAACACGCAGTTTCAAAAGCTGATATTTTCTTTAAAGATATTAGAACGCAAGCAAATTATGGCAGTTTAACTTAGGATTACGCATTGGGAAAATAACCCTGCAACAACTTATTTGTATTTCAATACTTGATAAGCATTTTTGAGCAATTAAAATTTTATTGCTTATTCCATTTTTGCGTGTATTCACTTTTCTAAAAACTTTAAATTTTAAAATACCAATTCAGGTGAAACAGAATTTGTCATCGAAAGCTTTTCACTCTATATAGGGTACTCTTTACCTCTCAATGGTCTTGGCATAGAAGGCCTCGAGCTTATTTTACCAGCAACTCCTGTCCTTGGACAACAGGTATTGCTTTCTAACATCCAGTTATTCCAATCCAATTATTGCAACTCATTCAAAATTATTCTTCTGGACATCAGCTTGGACCTCTTTATTTCTTTTTCCTTTGAGGGCCCAGGTAGAGGCGACATTTGTATCTTGTTTGGTACGATATGGATAAATGGTATCTTGATGATTGCCTTTTTGAAATGTTTTCCTCAGCTCTTTTGTTAGGCCAAAAAGTTATTAATATATATCCCATGGGCTCATTTTGAATGGTTTTTATAAATATTTCAGGGACAAAACAAAAAACTCTATCAAATTCCTACGATTACCGCCTGACAACGCAGGGACAAAAAACGTCATTAATAATTTGGTTGCCTGATGTAACTTAGAGGATTTATTATTATTAAAAGAGGATTAGGTAAATATTAAAAACAACTCCAACTTCCTTACAGCAATCAAGCAATTTTTATTCCTTTGAGTTTTTACCTCCTTTACTAATAATTCGTTTAATTTCGATAGCGATTTCGTTTTTAGCAAATTTAAGTATTTACTTTTGACATTTAATAAACAAATCTTTATATATTTTTACTTCATTTTTGACAAGGATTCTTGAAATACACGTTAAAAGTGGCAATTTCAAAACAGGTTGAATAATAATTTATGCAATAATATAGATCTCATATAGAATCATGAATTTTAAAGAAACATATACTATACATGATAGAGAATGTCTTTAGAGATTTTATAAATTTATAACAGGAAAATAGTTAGAGTTCAAATATAAACTTTGCTTATATTTTGCAGGGCATCTCAAGTATTTCTTTAGTCTAAAAATCTTCCGATAGATGACTCTGCCGGTAGTAGACCTATAAGTCAGAGAAAAATGATACTCTTTTTTCAGGTTTTCGAATTCAATCAATGACTGAAAACCTCCTTACAATATTTTCGAATCATTCTTCAATAACTTCAATGTATTAACTACATATTAACATTAACTTCACCACTACATATTGTAATCGAAGGATAAAATTCGCATAAAGCAGAACGCATCGGAAAAAATGCTTAAAAACGATTTGCAGCGCCGTCTAACGGAAAATTCTTAAACTATAGACACAAAAATCTCGCGCAAAAAAATTATGACCAGACACAAGAGATAGTTTTTTTATTTATTTAACTTTTGTCCTATAATATTTTTTAGAACAGTATTTCTTTTATATCAATTGTATTTACTGTATTTTCTTAGCCATATTTATAAATAATAGTTCTTAAAAAAATATTCAACTTTTAGTTAATATTTTTCGTACTTATGTATTAAATATCCAACTATATAATATGCTCTTTACGATTTAAAATTTAATTAACTTTACAAATATGTTCATAATAATAATTAAGGTTTGTACTCACCAATTACATTTACTTTAGCCTGGGCTCTTATTGGTTGATTGTTTGGTGCCGGACCAACCTATAAAAAGTAAAATAACTTAGAAAAGTTTATATTTTTCATACTAATGTGTGGATACTTTAACCTTCACGTCATTAATCAAACTATTTATGTATCATAAATTATCGGTTAGGAAATTTTTTCTGCGAAGTGTCAAATAAATGAATTTTGGTTGTTAACGTCACACAAATGCAACACTAATATTCTATTGACGACGCTCTGGAGTTCATCCATAATGACGATCGAAAGATAACACCGACGCATGCGCATTGTACACTTAGACATTTTAAATCAAGAGGTAATCGGGAGAAAAATATTACAGAACTCCCATGCTAGAAAGAGATGACATACTAGTGGATATTTATTTTTTTAGAATATCTTTAAAATCCCTTTTGTCCAAAATCATTTTATCTTGTGTCAAGATGAATGACAAAAAATAACAAAATACAGCTCAAGGATTAATATATCTCCAAAATGATACTTTTATTTTTGATAGTCTTAACGATTAATATTCTCTTGTAAAATTTGCAGTATTACTTTAAGCCCTTTGGATATTTTCATATATCTTTACGTTACTTGTAAATTTAATCTTGATATTTTTTTATCTCGCATTAATAATTGATTCCAAAGTTTATTGTGAAATCGGTTTAAATAAACAAATAAACAAACCTTAGAAATTCTTTATTTAAATTTTGGTCGCTTTACTTTGGAATATTGCAGTATTATTATGTGTTTCTACCTTAATCATAAAACTCATTGTATCGAAAGAGTTCAATATAATAATCTACGTTTTCTTCATCTTGAAACAAATAAACAATATCCTTGTGATATTTCTGTAACGCCTTTCAAGATAGTTTTTACATCTCATCATTTTAATGTCGTAGAATCTTATTATTTTTACGTGAAATTCTTAATAATGAAATTTATTACTTGAATGTTTTAAATGTGATTCATTTTCTATAAAAAAAAGTCACTATATGAAATAAAAAACTACTTTAAACCCCATTATTGGAAGATAATGACATTTTTTTCCTGATACAGATTTTACAATATTTTTAGCGGACATACTAAAAAACTTAATATTTTTAATTTTTTAAAGATGTTTTTTAAAATAATTATTTTTAAATGCTTTATTGCTGAAATGAAGTTTATTTTTCTCTCATGGCATACACCGCTTAAGCTGCAATTTTTTAGTTTGTAATGTATGTTTTGTCTTTCAAGGGAAACAAAATGAAAAAAGTTAAAAATTATTTTTCATGTCATTATGTAAATAAATAGTTATATCTAGACTTAATAGGAATACATTTAATCTATAATAGGAGGAAAATTAGTTATTGCTGCACACTTATGTGCAGCAAGAACTAATATAAAAAACATAATTTGTTCTTCTCAGAATTTATACTTTGAGTAGAATATTTTTTCATAGATAGCGTTGAGAGTCGTAAACTTCCAAACTGAAACTATAAATTTTCACTAGACAATTACAAGAAAATCCATTGAACACATTTTTCTCTAATTTTTTCAAAAAAGGAAAATTAAAGAGTGGTATTTGTAAAATGTCTGAAATCTTAAATCCGACGCAATCATAATTCATAATCCCAGAATGAAATTTTTACGTATAAAAATGCAACTGAAAAAAATGGTAAATATAATCACAGCGCCATCTTTCGGAAGTGTTTTAACTGAAACTAGGATTTTTGAGAAAAAAATAATCTATGCTTTAATACATAGATTTGCAGAGAGTATTACTACTTATTTTTTTACTTCAACTATTTTCCATTATTAAAATGCGAGATAAATCCCTTACGAATAAAAAAAAAAGTTGTTTTAAAAATAACGCATAAAAATCACAAATAGTGGAATTTTTTATTATTAAAACTTATGCTCGTTTCTGCGTCACATATGCATACCTTCATCATGATGTAATTCAAGAAAGGTTGCATCATAAAATATAGATAAACATTCAGTTTAAAAACAGAGATGATGTAATGCGATAGAGTTTACATATCTCTATAGAGATAAATATTCAGTTAAATTAACAACATTTAATAGACAGTGAGTGTAAGAAAATTAAAAAATATCATGATTTAGCTATAAAGTTTTTGCTTTAACTCTTGCTTTGATTCTCTAAACATTTCTGAACAGAAGGCCGTAGGTAGATTTTTCTTCCCTTTTTATCATTAATTAATGCATTTCATTCGTTGATCTGGATTTCTGGGTGGATTTCCACATCATCAAAAATTTATGTAATAAAACCTCTCAATGTTAAATGATGTTGCTGCTATACTCTTTTTTTAAAATATTTGACAATAATAATTATTTTTTTTAATTTTCTAATGCTGTCAACTTAATGCCTTTATCTCTAACTGTACAGAGTGCAAAATGCAAAATGCAAAAAGAAAGAAAAAAAAAAAAAACAGGCATACATTAAACTGTTGATCAAATGATCAGATTTTTACATTCTGGGACTCAATCTTATACGTTCAAAGTGCAGACGATAATTAATTAGTGCAGACGATATTTCAAGTTGCGAAATCAGGAACAAAACATACATTTCTCTGAACAAATAAACATTTTTTCGATGGCTTCGGATTTCTGATCCTCGAGATCTAGGGAGTAGCTGCATTCTAGAAAATAGAGTCCCAATTGCTTGGTCAGGAAAGCTGCTCAAAGTTTGGAATGTTTATTTTACTTTTTGTGAATATAACCATATATCCAGAGCTTTTTAATAGAATTGAATAAATTTTTGAACACAATTATAAAATTCATTTACTCAAAGTTACAAAACATAACAATGCATCCAGACAAAATATAACTTTTAAACGGCAAAATACAATTAGTGAAAAACTAGAAATAAAGCTTTAAAAAATTGTATTTTAAAAATTCAATTGCTCAGGAACTATTCCACAAGTTTTGTATAATTTTAAATAAAACTATATTCTTTAATAATGTAAAAAACAAAATACCATACACTTCAAAATATTTTCGACTATTATTCTATAAAATAATTTCAGAAAATAACAACTATGTATTGAAAGTTACTTTTGTAGGTAATTATCTTTGGATAAACAGATTTTATAATTGTGTGCAGCTCTCTTAAAACGTTTTCGAGATTTACCTTAATGCACAAAATAAATTTAAATTAAGTGCTCCATACTTTGGGCCACTTAACTGATCAAACTGTTGTGCACATGTTTCCCAGATTACGGCTACTCTCTACATTTTGGTGTCATTACAGAAATCCAATTGCGTGGTTAAAAAGGAATGTTTATTCAGTAGAAGTATGATTTTGTGTCTGATTTCGTAACTTAAAATATCGTCTGCACTACTTAATTAGCATAATTGAGGTTACCCCCTCGAACAATTAAGATTGAATCCTAGAGCGTGAAGATCCAATCATTAGATCGAAAGTTTTTCAGGGTGGTTAGAGTTTTTTTTCGCACTGTACATTTAGTGGTGCAGTGTGACGTAACCTCTATTGCATTACATCTTTCCTATCATTCTTTTCATTCATTCCGCCATTATCATTTATCATCTAATCATTCCCGCCATTTATCCTGCTGATGTTAAATTCATGTCAAAGGAAAACAAAACAAGCATAAGTTTTATTAAACATTTGTTTGATTAAATCTACATATTATGCGATTTTTACACATTTTTTTTTAAAGGAAAGTCGGTTTCCCAGTAATTTTGAAATACGTCAGTCTAAATTGGAAAAACCTGCATATTTACGCTTTGGAAAAGGTAAAGGAAACAAAAAATATCCCAAATCAAAAGAGTACGTCTAAAATAATGAAACTGTAGTTTCAAAAACATTCAGTTTTTTTTTTCAAAGTCCCACTAGATAGAAATAAATTTAAAAGAAGTAGCTTGAAGCGCTAAACTTGATTGTGCTCAAGTATTTGAATTCTTTATTTTTCCACGTTTAGTCGTGCTTTAAATTTCTGTTTCAGAAGCATATATTTTTCAGCAATGCTAGATTTGCGCATAAATTTACCCACTCTTTTTCCGAGAAAAATACGCAGGTGGTACTTAATAGAGTAAACTATGATATAAGAAACGAAACTAAACAGAAATTTTCTTTTTCGGAAATGCGCATCAGAAAGAAAAAGAGTTCATTAAATTTAAATTCCTCTTCCGATCACTGAAAAATTGCTTTTTATATAATGTAATTTAAATTTATTTTGAAACCCATCCAGTTCTTTTAGAATATTTTATAGATTTCTTTTGGCTTAGTCTTATTGAATATTTATTTTTTCTCTGTAAATTTAAAGGTAGACTTTAATAGAGCAAGTATTTTTTTGAAAAGATCTTTCTTATTGAAAATAAGCATTTCTAGTAAATAAGTTTCGTTAGTTGAAATAAAAACAGTTCTTAAAGTGCGTCGTCTAGTTTAGGAAAAGTTCAAAATAATTAAACTTGAGTTTGAACTGACTTTGATGAAGTGCTTTAAATTACAGGAAATATTTGGGGGAAAAAGCGTTCAATTTCTCTTAGGTGTATTTTTCTGTTTATATTTTATTGATGAATTGAGAACAAAAAATATATATATATATATTTTCAATTCCGGAAAAATTCGTTAAAAATAAAATTTTCAAGGAAAATAGGGGTATTAAGAATTGTAATTCAAAACATGCATAGCTGAATAATGATCTTGTGCATATTTTAATTTGTTTTATTTACAAATATATTTTTTATTATTTTTGCATAAATTTATTATTTGTGATGCATTCTCGTAAGATATTTTTTAAGTTGATTGTAATTGTTGCTGTTTCAAGCTTAATTTACCGTTGGATAAACTAAAATTATTTTAGACTAAATGTTTCGTTCCTATTTTTATACAGTGAGTAAGCTGGTCTCAAGAGTTGCTCCGTGGAACTCTTGGGTTCCGTGAAAGTATCGCAAAATCTCCAAGAGTTATGAGTTTTTAAACAATTTTTTTTTCCAATCTCAGGCACTGAATTTGAATCTTTTGCCTATATGCCAGAATTGTTGCTCATTTCACGTTACCCAGTGGGCAC